GGGGGTGGGCTGGGGGCAGGCACCGTGGGAAGGACGTGGTGAGCCAGGGGCAGGCAGCGGAGCGGGCCGTGCCCGGGAGGGAGCTGCTGGCGGCAGGGCTCAGCTGTGGGCTGGAGTTCCTGCAGGACCTCTGCCTGGTTTCCTAAAAACCACCAAAAACGTAGCGGCCTCAAACACCCCCTTCTGTGATCTCACTGCAGCTCCGGAGTGCGGCACGGCCTTGATGAGTCCTCTGCTCAGTCACAGCCGTGCCTGAGGTGTCGGCTGGGTGTGGTCTCACCTGGACCTCGGGCCCTTCTGCGCTGCCTGTTGGCAGAATTCCGGAGGCAGCAGGAGGGCATTTGCTCCACTGGCCTCCTGAGCTCAGGGAAGGAAGGCGCATGGCCTCTTAGCCCGATCATGTGACACCTGTAAAGGCGTGCTGAGGCTCACTGATCAGGCTAGGCCCACCCAGACACTCTCCCTTTCAATTAACTCAATGTCAGCTGGTTAGGGACCGTAACTACATCTGTGAAACCCCCTCCCCCTGGCCATACAGGGCCATCCATCCATCACATCACAGACAAGCCCCCCTCCACTTGGGAGTGGGAATCATGTGGGGCCTGCACACTTGGGTCCCCCTGAGAATCCTGCCCCCTGCCCCCACCCCCAGCCCCAGACAACATGCCTGGCTTCACTCACAGGAAAGCATGGGCCCAGCAGGTTCTCAGAACAGGGTGGCGGTGTGAGGCCAACGGCAGGCCCCAGGGAGCATGGCTGGAGAAAGAGGGGTGTTGGGGGCCCAGGAATGGGGTGAACCAGGGACCCGGCAGTGCTCTCTGGCTGTCTGAGGGTGGGGCAGGGTCCTGGGAGGGGCCAAGTGGGGTCCCCTGTGCAGTGGGGAGCTGGGCAGGTGTCCACGCAGTCCAGAGAGTGGAGGCAGTAATCCCACCGGCCTTGGGAAGCAGCCCCACCCCCATGACTCTCGCAGTGCTGGGCTGGGGCCCCCGGCTGGCAAGGGTGAGGAAGACTTGAACCCAGAGCCGGCTCTCAACCCAGACGGCCATCCCCGAGGCTCAGGGCAGCCCTGGAGCGCAGCTGCCCTGAAGCCACCGTCCCAGGTGTGGAGGAGGGGGAGCCCCACGGGGCAGGCTGTCCCCAGTGCCCATCCTGAGCCTGGGGCCGCTGGGGACGCAGCCGGGGCAGGCTCTGGGACGTAGGCGACTTCAAGTGCATTGTTCTTCTGTCATATCACTTTTGCATTCTGTCTCACTAGGTGAAGACTAATTTCAGGCCCTGGAAAATACTGATATTTCTTCAAGCTTTCCAGGACATGAAGCCCGTGAGTGAATCTAAGGGGGACAATGGAACTTGGAGAAGCATCTGCCCAAGCAGAACGCCTTGTGCCCGGCAGGTTTAATGACAGCGTTTTCCCACAATTCTGCTGGCGGCGGGCGCTCAGTGGGATGCTGGACAGCGTTTCTGGAAAATCACCTCAGAGGCGGGTGCGCACAGGTGCCCTCACGACACGACCTCGGGAGGAACCTCTCCTGAGGGCCTCAATGCACCGTCACAGCCCCCCAACAGCCTGGCCAGGGGATGGCAAGGCCCCACACGGGGTGTTCGTCTCAGTCTGACGGTCCAGTCGGGGCGCTCACCCGTTGGCTCACCTGTCAGGCACGTGGGGACGGTGCAGTGACACTGTCCTGGCTTTCCTACTCGAGGTTTTGAACGACGGTTTGACGCAGACGCCTCACCATTGGCCTGGGTAAGATTCACAGGTTTGTCTCTTCCAGTCCTGCCCCGCCCGCCCGTTCCCGCGGAGGGGAGGGCACTGGCTGGGCTTCCTCAGGCGAGGCCTCGTGGCCGCCTGCCTCCCTCGAGCGCTGCTGTGATGGCAGCTCTACCTTTACGTAGAAACCACATTTCATTCTAACATAGAAGGTGAGGGACCCGCAGGAACAGAAAGACGCCGAATTCCCGGGGAACGTCTGAGCCCAGGCCTGGCTAGTCATCTTGGGGACCCGGAGCAAACGAACATGCAGGCCCCTCAGTGAACAACGAGTAACACTTTCAGGATGGCAACGACGGAGTGCTAACTGAGTGCAGGGTCCGTGTGCCCACATGGGTCCCCGCCCCGGCTGAGCATACTGCAGGAGCACAGGGGGCCAGGCAGGCAGGACCAGGCACGGGCAGGCAAACAGGTCCCCTCGCTGGGATGGTGGATGTCCAGCCCCACACCTCACTCCACGAGGCCACTGTGAGCGTCCACTCCTAGCTGGCCAGGTCTCTCGGCTGGAGAGGAGAATTCAGCAGTCGCCACAGTGGCATCACGCTCAGCAGACCTGGGCTGTTCCTATGCCCTGGCGGGGACCCCTCAGAATCCCAGGCCCCCCAAGGGGAACACTGGAGCCCGTGTGTCTACTTATAGCACCCCTGGAGAATCACTGTTCTCCGAGAACGCCGGCAGCAAAGACCCCTGGTTCCTTCTCTAATTTCCCAACTGATTTGACTCCAGAACCCGTGCGGGAGCTGTGAGCGTGCTGCAGGCCCGTCTGGGGACAGAGGCCTCCACAAATGCTTCCCCGGAGGACGACCATCAATGAGAGAGCCACCCGTGTCCTCCTCCAAACAGGGCCACTCCGGGCTCGGGGACAAGGTGAGCTAGCGCTCCGTCATCTAGAAGACTCCTTTCCACTCCTGCTCCTCCCGAAACTCGTCCCCAGGCAACAAGACCAAAGGGCACCATGAACTGCATCTTCCCCAGAGCTCAGAGCTCACCTCCCGCCCTGTGTAGGGGAGCAGAGGGAGAGGGCCTCCGGCTCAGCGAGCTCCTGTGCTGTGGGGCGCTCAGGGCCCAGCCCCAGCACCGTGGGGTGAAGGTCCCCACCCACTGGCAGGAGACAGACGGTGTCACCTCCACATGGGAGGCTCCAGTGGGGGGACACCAGCCACTTCCTGGTCCTGGTTATGCTTTGGCCTGGCCCAATCAGTGTCACACGTTGGGTGAGGACTCAGTTCTTGGAGTGGAAGCCCCTCGGCTTGTCCTGCCAGATGAGTGTTGGAACCTGCACAGCTGTGCATCAGCCACTGGCCCTGGTGACCAGCTGGGTGGTGCCTAAAATACAGAGTGACCGCTCTCGCCCCTGGGCAGCGGCTCCGCAGTGAGGACACGGAGTGTCGGGCCCACCTGTGGCTGGACTGCCCAGCATTTCTAGCTGGGTGATGTGTCCTCCTGGGTCTCAGTCTCTAACGGGACACATGCACAGGATGTAATGCCAACACCTGCTCTGCTCTAAAGCCTGGCTCTCGGGGTTACTTGGGGAGAAGTCCAGAACAGGGACTGTAAAGGGCCTGTTAATGGCCAGAGGCCACAGGTTCCAGGCCAGGGGTGGACGTGCTCTGTCCTCGGTCCAGCTTGAAGGCTTCAAAAGGGCACTGAGCGAGCAGGTGGTCAGGAGCAGGACCTGGCGAGCTGACGGGAGGCTCTGAGGAGGGCAGCTCACCCTGACCAGGGTCCAATTCAAGGGTCCCCAACTGAGGTGTACCAGGTCACGGGGCAAGCGGGGGTTCGTGTGAGCCCCGCCCAGTGGGTGGGACAGGGACGGTGTTCTTAACATAACCACGTCCAACTTGTTCTCACCAAGACAACGCTTTATTGAGAGCGTCCTGTAATTACAAGAGAAGGCACACACACAGGGCTCTGCGCCGACCCTTCCTAGCTGCCACCAGGCAGCGACTCCTCGCTTCCCACTGCTCAGAGCTCACCCCCGGTCCTGAAGAACTACAGAAGAACTCTGCAGATAAACCGCCCACCTACCCTGGGCTCCCACAGCTGGTGGGCAACAGCCTTCCTTCAACAGCTGGGAACAGCCTGCACCACCACGAGCGCAGCGTCATCTTCAAGGAGAGCGTGGTCTGCCAGGCGCTGTCACTCCATCACTGGTTTCTCGCACATGTGGTGGTGAAGTCACCCCTTCGCTTTGTGTGGCTTTCACACAGCTGGCATGCCCTCAGCTCGCACAGGAATGTGGATGTTTCCCGCAACAGGAAGAAAGGGGTGGACAGAACATCACTCTTTCCCTCTCCAGTCCCAGTCATTTCAACTGCAGTAAGAACGGGCTTTTCTCTAAGGGCTCGGGGCTCACACCCCTCCCCTTCCACGTGGAGGCATCCTCGGCTTTTGGGGGCACTAGGAGGGACCCCCAGGGCTGCAGCATCATGGCCCAGATCCTGTGCATCATGTAAGGCCTGATACTCCTCCCAGAGGAAGAAAATGTTTTAGACGCAGTTTCCACAAGGCTGCCGTTTCCCACCTAGCTGCTTCACCTGTGGCTGTCCCCGGTCCCCATACAGCAGTGGCAGGCCGGTCTGTCCAAGCCCTCTCCAGCTGGGTCAGCACAAACCCTCTGCATGGCTGCTGGGCTCTTAGAAAGGGAGAGAGAAAAGAGGAAGCACGTCCCTCCCAGCCCCTGCCATTCAAACACAATGTCCCCAGGGGGCAGCAGGAGGCTGTGTGTGCTGACGCGAATGGAGGGCAGCTTGTCTCTCTAAGGATGCCGTCATTCTGGAAGTCTCCGTGGTCTATCTCACGACCGAGTCAGAGAACTGACATGGAAAAGCATGGGTGAGCATGGCTCTGACCTTTGAAAAGCACGTCCAGAGCGTGTCTGTCATTTAGGAAATGTCTGCTTCCAGATCAGACTTGGCAAAAATATTTATTAGGGAGAACGGCCTGCGAAGCCCACCTTTAGGAAGAGCCAGGTCAAGGTGGGCCCTTCCGATGGGCGTCCAGGCCTGGGCCTGGCATGTGGCTGGGACCCCTCACGGTGGAGGGCACAGGAACGGGTCTGCCCAACAGTGCCCAACGCCCCTTCTGCCCTCGCCGGGGTGGCTGGTGTGCGCCCAGAGCTCAGCTTTCCTGGGCGGGCTGAGGCGTCCTAGGGAGGCAGTCCTGCGTGCAGGGACTCAGCTCACAGGTCCAGGGGAGGCCGTGGCTGTGGCAGTGACCCTGTCTCCCAGGTGCTCGGGACCTTGGCGCAGGGTCCTGCGAGGAGGGCCTGCCAGCTTGGGCCCCTGCTGACGGTCACTCCATGTCCTCCTGCAGCTCCGGCTTGTGCAGGGCCTGGAGCTGGCTGACCACGGTCTGGTGGACGGCCTCCAGCCCCTCGGCATCCAGTTCTCGCAGCAGCAGCAGGATGGCGGTCAGCACGTTGTTCTGGGGGCACAGGGAGTCACTGGCTGAGCACTACGCCCCGCACCGTGACGCACTGGTCCCTGGCCAGTGTCACGTGCACATCATGGTTACCGGCCTTCAGGAGGGGCGGGCCTTCCGGGCAACCAACAACAGACCACCCGGACAGAGAGCCGGGCAGCCTGAAGCCTCAGCCGTGGCACTGGTGTGGCTCACCGCATCTCATGCTCACAGCCTTGAAGTCCAGGGAGGCTGAGTGACTGGCCCTCGGTCACACAGCTGGTCAGTGATAGAGCAGCATTAGAGGCAGGCTGAGTGGCCCAGAATGGCACTCAGTAACACGTGCTCAGATACATTGTGTGTCGTGCGTGTGTACGTCCATACATCTACACACAGTTTCTACTGTCATCTCTGCCGGAAACATGTGGGAAGGATTTTGCACACAGGGGGCTCCTTGAGCTGATTCTCATGAGATGAATGGAGGAATGGTGTGAGCTGGGAGCACACCGCGATGTGAGATCTGCTCAGAGGCTCACACACCGGACAGAGCACGGAGCTTCTGGAGCCCCTGCCCCATGGCCTACACCCTGGGTGCCCACCCCTGAACGCCCCCAACACTCTAAGGCTCCTGCTCCCCTCGAATCTCACTCAGCTCCCCACGTCCCCAGGGTCTCCCTGGCACCTGCATCCTTGCACTCAGGAGCCTGTGGGGGGCTTGCCGCCCACTGGGGCACCCAGCTTGGCTGGGACTCTCCATGGCAGGGCCCGGGCCCATCCTTCCTCTACTGCCCAGAAGCAAGTGTGCCTGTGTAAGCAGCTTGCGTGATTTCTAGTTTGCGTTTATGGCAGCACAGAGTTGAACCAGTGTTTCCAACTCTGGTCCACTGTCCTCAGCTCTGCAGAGGCCCCAGGCGGGCGGAGGAGGGAGTTTCGGGCCTCAGCCCCCTGCAAGGACAGGCTTGCTCCTGGGGACTGTGTCTCTATCCGGGCTCCTCCCGCAATGCGTCAGGGAAGTATGTACACGGACCACTGAGCTGGCTCCACACAGCCACCTCTCTGAGAAGCAAAGTCCTGAGGGGACACTGACCTGCAGGCGGGAGGATGGGCCATAGGCCCAGCGATGGCTCCCCAGACTGGCCATCAGTCTGCAGCCACATCTGTTCGCAGCTCTTGGGGACACTTTTCATGGAGGGTGGGCTGGCACTTTCCAAGGCCGGGGCCCCCATCTATCCACGTCTGGACCTCCCACAGGCTCTGCATGCACTGTGAGTGGTCACTGAACGAATGACTGAGCCCTAGCCCACAGTTTCAGGCCAACCCCACCCTTTGACTGTGGGGCCCTGCCTATGTGAGCCCACGTGGAGACCACAGCACCCCGACAGCTGTGGTCAGGCCAAGCCAGGCTCCGCAGGGCTGAGGACAGCCGGGCACCCTGGGAGCAGGTGCTGGGGGGTCATGGGCCTCCCTCACAGACCCCGGTTCTGCTCAGGCAGCCCCTTCCCACATGACCAGGTGGTAAGGTCTCCACTAGGCCAAGCTAGCCGTGGTGACCCTGGTCTCCGGGCCAGTGACTGGGTCTGGCTTGGGGACGTGAGCAATTCCAGCTGATGAAACCAAGACTGCTGGGGGTGAGGTGGGGGAGGCACACAGGGGAGCAGCTGTTTGCCGATAAGATGACACACAGGGGATGTAATGTCCCCTGTCCTTCTGTTGGGTGTGAGCCTGGACGAGAGGGGTCAGCCCTGTGACCAAGAGGGGCATGAGCTCAAGGACGAGCCAGAGTGACGCGGGCAGCAGACGGGAACCCAGGTCTTCCACAACGTCACCCAGCTGCCCACTTGACCCACTTGTTGTTAGTCAATGACCCATTATTCCTTACAGGGAAGCCTCTGGAGCCACGGGGCCTGCTTCCTGGTCACTGCACGGTGACACAGCATCCACCCTGGCCAGGACGAGGAGTCCCCACCTCTAACTGCAGGCAGGAGGCCACTCCACAGCAGCAAACCTCTGCGGCTCAAAGCACTGCCACAGCAACCTTTCTAAGCCGAGGCCAGATGCGGGGTCCTGCCTGCAGCCTCAGGCCCTCGGCAAACCCCGCGTGCTGGGAGGCCCAGTCGCACACGCGTGCACACCCTCCCCCGCCCTTGTGCCTCTTCTGATAATCAGCTTAGATCAGACGACTGGCCAGCCTCCCACCTTCCGGGCCCTGGCTGTGAGGTCCTGAAATGTCTCCAGCCCCTGTCCCCACCCCAACCCCCACAATTCCCACATCCTGGGCAGAGGGAGCAGTGGCCACCTCTGGCCAGGATCACCTCCATCACTACTCACCCTGTTCCTGCGACTGCTCACAGCGTCCCTCTGTGGGAAGGAAGGAAGCTGGTCCCGGGAAGCGGGCTTCAGGCCGAGCTGCCCCTGGATGCTGCTGTGGGTGGGGGATGACAACGGTGCGTGAGGCCCGAGGAGCGCAGGGCCCGGTGGCACCTTCACAAGTGTCTGCAGGGTCAGATCCCAGAGCCCGGGGCACAGCGACAGAGACTCCTGCCCATGAGTCCCCACCCCCCAGTACGCAGGGAAACACCGCTACGTGACACTGCCCTGGAGGGATGGAGCACCAGACAGGAGGGTGGGACCGGTGGATTCGTGGCCCCAGCACTTATTTCTCTGTGATCCCATCGGGGACCACTCCCTGCACCTGGAGCTCCCCCAGGGCCGGGGGGGGCACTAAACACAAAAGATGTGTGTGAGAGCCCCTGACACAGGGCGGCAGATGCAAGTGCCCACCACTGAGGCGACATCCGGACCTCCCAGTGCAGAAAACAGAAAGGGAGACTTCATCTGCTACGGGGAAGCTTAGCCTGGCGGCCCCGCGGTGAACGCGGTCTCTACAACATCCCCCACGTTCAGTTCCTGCTCACAACGTCCGTGACAATCAGTGAACTGCCCTCAGAGGCTGCCCAAGCCCTGTCTGAGGTGGTCTGTGGGTCGGGGAGGGCCGTTCCTCAGGGCCCACATGATCCCCCACAGGACTCCCTGAGTCTGTACAGCAGCTCAGGCAGCCACAGCCACGTGGCTTTCCCTCCTGCCCACTAATCCACTCTACCGCATCCCACCTCCAGGCCACGCCCCACGGAGGGCTGGGGCCGCGCTCACACAAGCTCCCGTGTCCTGTGCCTCCTCCTGGACACACCACTGACACCAGGTTGGGGGCGACAGAGAGCCACAGACAGGAAGAACCACCCTGAGCAATTCCCTTCCCTCACTCCCCAGAGACGAAGCCACAGGATGGCCCGGCGACTCTCAGTGGGAGGACCGGGACAGGCCCCGCTGGCGCACCTGGCCTCCTCCTCGCCGTAGCTCAGCGGGTCCCGTTGCATCTCGGCAGTGGCGCTCATGGTGCTCAGGGCGTAGGGCAGCTCGGGCCGGCCGTTCCCCGTGCCCTCTAGGCCAGGGGCTGTGACCTCCTTTCCCTCCATCAACGCTCGGGCCAGCTCCTCCTCGGTCACAGCTTTGGGGTCAAGGAGAGGGGCAAAAGTGTCAGACCGGCCTCACGCACACCAGCCCCACGAGCCGTGGCTCTGTCTTCACTGCAGCATCAGCCCAGTTTGCTTTAGAAAAGAGGCGTCTGTCTGCCCACCTGATGGCCAGCAACCCGAGAGCAGGACCGGGTCCTGCCACTGTCACATCGCCCCCCCCAGCACTTGCTGGACACACAGCAGATGGTTAACTGCTTGTGAATGTGAATTCCACCATTTGCCAAAAGCAAACACTCAAAAAAACCCAAATTAAGATAAATTTTAAAAAGGAACAGAATACATCGCATTTATTCCATTTCACTCACATGTGACTATTTTCCCTGAAGTTTATTTATATGAAAATTGTTCATCTGGGAGAAAATAATTGTGCACATGTGACAAGGATTAGGAACCAGCACACAGGGAACTCCAGTGCACTAACAAAAAAGGCACGGCCCCTGGAAATGGGCTGGACCTCACTGGAGGCCGGAGCACAAACCGCCCACTGCCCACGACGAGCTGAGCTGCTCACCTCAGGGTGATGGAGATGCAGATTAAAACCACAGGGAGGCGGCCATCCACACCTCCAGCAGCAAGAGCGAACACCAGGTAACCCAGCGCTGGGAGGGCGAGGAGTGAGGGGCGCACCCTCACCTGCTGGTGGGAGCATGCGGACACCGCCACCTCGTGTCCCCATGGACCATCAGTGACACCGCTTGGCCGGCCCGGACACTCGCCCGTGCTCCCCAGGGTGTGTGGATAAGCGTTGGAGCCAAGTGTACTTAACAAGGAAAGGAGAAGAAACAGCTCAGCGGTCAACAGTGGGGGGATGAACAATTGTTAGGGTCCAGAGATGCTGCCCTGTGCGGGGGGGCCGTGCCCAGTAATCGGATGACCCTGACTGTTGAAGGAGCAGCACGAATCTGGGGGACACCCCTGAGGAGACCGCAGAGAAGGAGGCACCCGCGAAGTCTCGAGAGATCCGAGTTTGCAGAAGTGGCGGGGAGGGGGAGGGACTGCCCGGCTCGGCTGCGGCACCTGTGGACACCTACCCTGGTTGTCCAGCTTCTGCAGCTGGGGCAGGTTGCGCAGGACGGTCATGCGGTAGAGGTGGGGGTTGGCGCCGCAGCACGGGTTCTCGGCCAGCCACAGCACACGGAGGCGCGGCAGGCCCTTCAGGTAGAAGAGCTCGGCCAGGCTGGGGATGCGGTTCTTCCTCAGGTAGAGCTCGCTCAGCTGCTGGCACTGGCTCACGGGCTCCAGGGTGGACACGCTGTTGACGCTGCATGGAGACCGCAGGGTTAGCAGCTGCCTCCCGCATGCCCGGCATGTGTGCCAGGCACCCCTCCACCCCGTCTGTCTCGTTGCAATTGTGAACACCAGAAACCAGCCCTCCTGGGGCTGGGCCCAGCTGCTCTCTCCTCAGGAGGAGGTCAAAATCGGCTGTAATGAGTCAAGTTCAATGAAGACCCCAGGAGACCTCAGAGGAGGAAGCTTCAGGGCAGAAGTCCCTTAACTGAAGGTGTGGGCGGCAGGGACAGCCCCTCTGGGCTCCTGCTCCATTTAGGCCTCGAGGAGTCAGCGTGTGGGGAGGGATGTTTTACTCTCACGTATAGGAGAGGAAACGCAGACCCCCAAGGGGTAAGCACTGCACCCCAAAGCAGGCGGTGCCAGAAAAGCCCACGGCAAATGTGAGTAAGCTCCATGTTACACAGAACTGAGCACTGGACTTCCGAACCCCACGTCTAAAAAAACCCAAGCGTATGGGTTTAAATTTGGTTCCACAGAATCACGAATACATCAGAGACAGAAAACCACCTGGGATTGAGGCAGAGACCTGCGGGTTTAAACTGACACGAGCAGAATCATCCACCTCCACACCCAGACAGACCAGGCTGCTCACACGCTCAGCTCAGGGCGGGGCCCAGCATCCTCCGGCGTCCCCAGCCCCAGGCCCACTGCGCCCAGTGGCAGCGCCACACAGGCCGGTGCGTTCCTCCTCCACAGCTTTGTGGGACGCCGCTGTCCCCTGCAGAGCTGGAGGCCGTGAGTCGGGCTACTCTGTGGGACCCCGCCCGATGTGCGAGACCTATCTAGAACATTCTTTCTGGGAGGCTGCATTTGTGTTTGCACGCACGTTGAAGGGATGTCACAGTTCTCCCTCAGCGACACCATACTGGACACTTGCTTGTTAATGCAGTTACTGGTGGGGGTGCTGTGCTTCGCACACGGGTTATCTCACTTAGCAGCTGGGTGTGGGGTTGACACCACTCGCTCTTAAGCGAAACGCAGGCTTTGGAATCCTCGAGATGGAGGAAGCTGCCCAGGGCACAGGCAGTCAGTGTAAAGCGAGGAGGTGAGCCTGCAGCCTGGCCTGGAGTCCCCCTTCTTGACCAGGGGGCTAACACCGCCCTTTGCTGTGGACTGAATGCTTGTGTCCTCCCCGAAAACCTATGATGACATCCTAATCCCCAATGTGGTGTTGGCAGGAGGGGCCTTTGGGAGGTGAGTAGGTCGCGTGGGTGGAGCCCTCATGAATGGCATTAGTGCCCTTAAAAAGGGGACCTTGGAGGCCAGCCCAGTGGCATAGTGGTTAAGTCCGTGCACTCAGCTTCGGCAGCCCGGGGTTTGCAGGTTTGGATCCTGGGCGGCAACCTGCACACCACTTGTTAAGCCATGCTCTGGTGGCGTCCCACATATAAAGTGGAGGAAGATGGGCACAGATGTTAGCTCAGGGCTAATCTTCCTCAGCAAAACAAAAAGGGACCCCAGAGAGCCTGCCCGTTCCGCCATGTGAGCACACAGTGCGGAGACGGCTGTCTATGAACCAGGAAGCGGGTCTTCACCAGACACCCTAATCACGGACTGCCAGCCTCCATATTGTGAGAAGTACATGTCTGTTTGAGCTGCCCGGTCTGTGGAATTCCGTTACAGCAGCCGGAATGGACAAGGACAGCTTCCCACCCCTGGCGCTCAGACCACAGTGCAATGGATTCACCCACAAAAGGACTGCCCCCTGTTTTCAGGCAGCAATGCCCACACGGCGTGGCCCCACTAGTTCCAATGCAGCCAACGTCCAGACACCGTGCACCTGAGCCTGGTCAACAACCCCGGGCACTGCCCTCCCTCCACGCTGTGTACATGAGGACCTGCTGCTCAGAGAGGCCCAGAATCGCACAGACAGAGCACGGCAGAGATAGGGTTAAAGTCACACCTGCCTCAGAGGTTCCTGCTATTCTGGGGAAATGGAAAGCTATCATCTGTCAGGTCAGGCTTTCTGGGGCGCAGGCTCAAGTCCCAGCTCCACTGACAATTGTAACGAGTAAACGACATGACAGAAGTGGCATGAGCACACTTGCTACATGCTCCACGCTCCCGACTGTAGCCGCTCCTCATCGCCCTGTGGGGTGGGTGCTGGTATTTTCTCCCTATTACAGATAGGGAAACCAAGGCACAGAGATCCAAGCCTTGCCTGAGGTGGGAGAGCAGCTCCAGGCCCATACGTTCATCTCACGAGAAGGCATGGCAGTGACAGGACAGGCTCGGGCTGAGGCTGGGGGAGCCGTGAGCACAAGGTGGGTGGACATGGGGGTCCACCAGGAGACCATGGAAGGCACAAAACAGAAGGAGCGGAGGGGTTGATGAGGGACAAACAGTGGCCATCAGTGTGATCAGGAAGGTAAGTCACAGGGGTCTGCAAGGGACCAAGTGCCTATGACCCCCACGTTTAGGGCGACTTCCAGAACCTTCTGAACTACCAAACAGGCAGAGTATGCCTTCCTTGCAGGGTTTCAACTCTGTGAGGTTTTACACGGGGGGACTTGCAAAAAGCACCCATGCTAGCATCTGGCAAGTAGTGGCAATCCACAAGTGTGGGCTCCCTCCCAGGGTCTAGATGGGCAGGAGTGAGTTCGGGGGCAGAGTACGTTCCTCCCTCCCCCGACCCCCCAAATACTCCCCGGCTGCCTGGAATCCCAATGACAGTGTTTGGTTAATTCAAGGTTTCCTACGTCTGTTAAAACGCCAATGGCGGGCTGGCCCCGTGGCTTAGCGGTTAAGTGTGCGTGCTCCGCTACTGGCAGCCTGGGTTCGGATCCCGGGCGTGCACCGACGCACCACTTCTCCGGCCATGCTGAGGCCGCGTCCCACATATAGCAACTAAAAGGATGTGCAACTATGACGTACAACTATCTACTGGGGCTTTGGGGGGAAAAGAAAGGAGGAGGATTGGCAATAGATGTTAGCTCAGAGCCGGTCTTCCTCAGCAAAAAGAGGAGGATTAGCATGGATGTTAGCTCAGGGCTGATCTTCCTCACACACACACAAAAAAACGCTAATGGCTCTGGAAGAGGTAACTCTTATCAATGACAGATCACGTGACACACAGAAACTGGCAGAGCTCCTAGCAGTGAGGGAACCAGGAGGGCAGAGAAGGCTGGGCCGCTGGGGCGCTGGGGTGCTGGGGGCAGACGCGGCCACTGTGAGGTTGGCTGCTCATCGTTAAGGGGGCTGCATCCACCGACTGCAGTGAGGGTGGGCAGGGACGCAGCAGGGCGTGCTCAACGGGGGGGGCCCAGGTTCCCTCCAGAAAAGCGGTCGGAGCGCGGTGGGAGCTGAGGAGCAGCCAGGCTCCCATGATGGCCTTGGGCCGCCTCCCCTACACAAGCGGCCCTCCCAGACTTTCCCTGGGAGTCTTCGGGTCATCTAACGTCCCGCGGTTCTGGGGAGGGATCTGAAGGCTCTCCTCCTCTTTCAAGCCCCAGTGACTCAGAGTGACAGCAGGAGTTTAGGTACCTGAGGGTAATCACTTCCAGGCTTGGCATTTCCCGGCAGATGGAGATCTAGGAAGGAAAAGAGTGTGATGTAAACAAACATACGTACAGAGAACAGATCGGTGGTTACCAGAGGGGAAGGGCGTGGGGGGAGTGAAAGGGGTAAAGGGGCACACGTGTACAGTGGACGGATAGCAACTAGACTTCTAGTGGTGAACATGATGTGGTCCTTACAGAAGTCAAAACATAATGAGACTTATATAACGTTATAAACCAATGTGACCTCAAAAAAAAAAAAGAATGTGATTGTAAACATTGCTGGGCACCGGCACTGTGACATCACCTCTCTCTATCAGCCCAATGGAGAATCCAGTTGAAGGCACAGTCAACTCCACTTCAAGGGCCTCCACGGCAGAGTAGCCTCCCTCACCTCGCCAGGGCTCGCACAAAATACTCAAGAGCACGCTGGGCTCTGCACTACACTCTACTCTGCAGCCTAGACAACTCCCCCAACTGGGAGGAGAAATGTGCGTGCTCTAACACTTTAAACAGCATCATCACCATCAAACACTGCCAGCTGTCGAGATAGAGCACTCCTAATTTCAGATGCCCTCAAAGCACATCAGGTGAGGGGACCTCAATGCCCCTATGCTGGACAGAACCTTCCTTCTTGCTGTCCCTGATGTACAAGGAAAGGACGAAGCCCCTTCTTGCCAACAAAGCTGGGCCAAAAGGGAGACAGGCTTGAAATGGGATCTCAGATCACATTAACACTGTCGATGCAGTGGAAAGAGCAGCGAGGTGCTCAGGTTGGCCCATAAAGGCACCCCAACCTGTAAGGCTGATGAGTGGTGTAGCCCCAAATATCTCCGTGCCTGCTGTACGCTGGCCTGGAGCCAGCCGGGCCCCGGACCTCACCTGACCTCAACTAGCTCATGGTTTGGTCAGAACGCTTCACACTTGCAATGGGTTCATTTTCTGCTACGGTGGTGCTTTTGTTTTTTGGGGTTTTTTTTGCTGCTGAATGAGCAGCACTTTGGCTATAGCAGGAGGTGGAGTCGGCTTTTCCGGACAGCCCAGTTACTCAGTGTTTCTAACTTTGTTTCTAAGGAAAGGTACAGTTCAAGTTACAAAACAAAAGGAGATAAGAAAGAAGTGGCTGGTACACAAAGTCTGTGTAAGTTGGGGACATTCAGTCTAGAAGAGAGAGAGAGAGAAAGGGAAAGAAATCTATTCCTAGGCCCACAGCCCAGCTCGGCTCTGCGCACTGCCCCCCCATGAGGCCCCATCTCTTCCTGCCATTGGGGGCAGGGGAGCATGATGCTGGATCTGACCAAGGGGAGGAGCTGAAGTGACGACCCTCCTCAGTGACATGAAGTCCAGGCACCTACAAAAAAAGACTCCCAGCCAAGCGCACTCCTCTGTAAAGTCAACCAAACCCCTGGGATTCCTCCAGGGCAGAGCAGGGGCTGCACTTTGGCTCTGCTCCCTCCTCTGCGAGGCCTGCAGGACACAGGGGCCTTTGATCCACATGAGAATAGTCAAAGGAACTCAAATAAACTTGGGCTCTAGAGAGTATTTTCTTCATTAGTGGCTCTGCCTTATGAAGCACTGCATTAGGGGACGAATCGAATGGGTGCCCTTCCGTCAATTGAACAACTCTCCTGGGGAAGAGGCTACAGCTTTGGGGATCAGGGAGCATTTGGAGATGATCAACATAATACTTACATCGGTGAGGCGGCTGCCCCTGGGGAGGAAAAGACACATATACTTTAATTTTGTTACAGTTGAATACAAAAAATTAAAAACAAAAATTCCAAAAATTAGTGACAAATGCCTACAAACTTTAAGATTCTATGATTTCAATGACAAAGTAAAAGAAAGCTTGCCCGGATAACCAACAACGGTGTCAAAAATTGTTTCTTGGTTGATTTAGAGCAAAACTATACATGTTTGATGCTGGAGGGTGACTTCTCAGACTAAGGAGTGGCAGAGGTTGCTCCATTTGGAGGACACAAAGATCTACGCATTCTCAAGGCTGTCGCATAGCAGGATAATTTCTGTCATTAATGTAAATAAACAAGTGAGTCTTTATAAGAGGCCAAGTTCAAAGGCTAAACATGTAACTTATGAAACACACTTTAGAAAGGCTGAAATAGAGCTGTTGTTTCTCCCTGCTTAGAGAAAGTATGATAGCCTAATGCAGACCACAGGGATGCATTATTGAAAACAAATGACAGGGGATATTGTGGCCAAAATACCAGCTGTGCCAGGGCAAAAGAAAGGCTTAATAAACAGGCAGAGCTCCCTGCAGTCAATCGGCCGACACCACAGGAGTAAGGTCTGCTCTTGGCTCAGCTCCCCACGCCCCACCTGAACTGCCCGGTTCACAGAAGCGCGTGAAGCCTGGCTCTGAGTCCCCATCGAACCATGTAGGTCTTTCAGGAGTTGAGGAAGCATTCTGGTCCTTCCTTGGCCCAGCTAGACCTGGCCACCCTGCCCTTGAGCCTGCACTGACTCCACAGCACCTATATCCCGTCGTGTCACCTCCCAGGCAGTGAGTCACCTCGAGACAGCACCTCCCACCCAGGACTCAAGTTCAACAATGTTTACTGAATCATTACTTTAGAGTCTCAGTTCTCTTTCTTTCCCCCTAGAAATGGTATTGTGGAAATTAATAAAAGAAACTTTAACTAAACTGGAGTCGGGAAGGCCTGTAGGGGGAGCTCTCACCCCCATCACACATCATCAATTACACCAACTAGGAAGAGATGTACACTTGCATCTCGGGTGGAAAGTACAACTACTTTTCTACTGAAGGAAGATTTCTCTCCCCTCCCAGCAACATCCCAGCCAATGAGAAACCCTTGCTGCCCTGAACTGTTACTCCCCACTCCCCACAGCCCCTCCCTCTCCCCCTTTTTCTCCATAAAAGCAGTTCCCCTCCTTTCTTTTCCAGATTTGCCTGTGGTTCACCATAGCATGCACACCCCGAATTGCAACTCTTTTGGCTATTCCCAAATGAACTCATTTTGAGAGAAAATAACAGGAAATTTTATTTTTTAAGTTGACAGTATTAATCCCCTTGATCTCCCACCTTGTTAGTAGACATGGCTCCCAGTGACTGGCAATGTCAGAAATCAGACCCATCCACGGAAGGATCTATCTGCCCCACTAAAGGTACATAGAAGCCTGACAACAGTCTTCAAGGCAATTCCAATTGTTTCAAGCAAGGATAGCAGGTTTGGAGCCTGGGTCTGAAACACCACCACTCGGGGTGGGAGTGAAAATTCTGGAATGACCTTTGCCAATGGCCACCAGAGCACGTGGCAGCACCTCCCAGAGGCTGTGTGCCCCTGGGACTGGGCAGGCTAGCCTAGGGCAGGGGCCAGGAATGCTTGGCCCCTGACTTAACATAAATGTCGCCATGTTTGTCCATTTGGTGACCCTGGGAAACCACCCACACTAAAAAAATGCAGAGCAGCTGCTTGTGGTGGGAACCGGCCCTTCTCCCACAATACTAGCTACAATTATTTAGGTTATAAATCTTGTGGGATGTCAAGGACAGGCACAGGCCGGCCATCTGTGCCGGTCCGAGATCAGTGCTGGGAGTTACAGTGCACGTACACACGCCATAACAGTGAGAAGGAAAAATACCAAAAGTTCCCATCGAGATGGTCTCTAAGTAGAAACATACATAAAAGCAACTCACAATTCTGCTTGGGTGAGAGTCTCGCCTGTGGGGGGACGCCTTGCCCAGGACCTCTTTCCATGGGCACTCCTGCCTAGCCGTGTCAATTAAAGGGACTCTCTCCCGTGTAAGGGCGTGGATGTTGTGAGTACTCGATCTGATGTTTTCTCTTTTTGATGAATCTGATGTTTCTCTTTTCGATTGATCTGATGTTTTTCCCTCTCGGTCGATCTCATGTTTCTCTTTTTCGATCGATCTGATCTTTTTCCTCTTTTGATCGGCACTCCCGCCTAGCCGTGTCAGTCAAAGGGATTCTCCCAGCATAGGGGCGTGGATATTGTGAGTGCCGATCTGATGTCTCTCTCCGCCCCCGCCCCCCGTCTCTCACTCTCCCCTATTTTTTTCCATTGTTATTGAATTACTATTTGCTTCTGCTTCTGCTATAGTATACTCGTGTATATATTTATGTATATATATATATATATACAGCCTATTGTCTTCCTAATAAATATATGCACTATTTCTCACTAAAACCAGTATATTGGTGTCTTATCGAGCCAAAACAGTCCATTCCATAAGTCAATCCAAACGTGCCCCTTCTTCCCTCCCCTGACACAACATTTTTGGCGCTGTGAGCAGGACTGACTGGGAGAATGGCCTTTATGTTCAAACGCACCAATACTGCTACCACCCCCGTTGAAATTCCCAGGTGGGAAGACCCTCCTTTTTGTGTTTTGGCTGCGGAGTGGGCCTGCCAGTTGGGCCTCTGTGAATCTTGGGACATTGGGTTGCGCCGACATGAACCACTAGATGTCACTAAAGCTTTACAGTCAGTAGAAAGGAGAGGCAAGAATGATGCTTCTTTTCTAGCACGGCGGAGCTGGTGCCTGTTAACTGCTTACCGTCAGGCTATTGAGGACAGAGATAAAATACGAAGAGAGAAGGCACTTTTGGAGAAAGAAATGTCAGACTTACAGTCCCGACTGGCTGTGATTCAACGCCAAACTTACGTTTTGGGAGATCAGGCTCGTAATTACCAACATTTAGCAGAAAAAGCAGCTGTGAGAGCGGCTAAGTATAAATATAAGAAGAGGAAAGAAAAAGTAAACAAACAAAAAGAACATATGGCAATAGCCTCCGCTGGTCCTGAGTGGGACCTGGATACTTGGGATGGTGATATTTGGGATGATGATTCAGAGGGGACTGATTATGAAGAAGAGCCTATCCCCCGACCTAAACAGCCAGAAGCACGCCCTCTGCGGCGCAGGTGAATGGAAACTAATGGGGAACATCTGGTCAGGAGGGACGAAGTAGAAGATTTTACTCAGCAGGAAATTTCTGATTTCTTAGCTCAGGCCACGCAGAAGCCTCGTGAAACTATTTTGACTTGGTTAGTTCGTCTATATGATACGGGGGCTGCTGGGATCAACTTGGATGCTGGAGATACATTTAAGTTTGTGACACTCTCCAATGACCCAGTAATACGGGGAGCTTTCCGAGATTGGAGCGTGAATGCTCACCACCCGAATGATCATGGACAAAACTCTGATGGTACAACTTTATTGGCTCTTGCAGTAAAGGGAGCTCAAGACAAATATCCTACGGATGATATGTGGCTGGACACTGATAGACCATGGTGTATTTTAAAAGACTGTGTCCAAAAACTGAGAAAAGAAACAGTAAAGAGGGCTGTGTTTTTGGGGTCTGGTGAAGTCTTAAATAAAATGGGTCTAAGCATCCAGGTTCATAATAAGCTAATTCAAACTGCTTCCCCCACATATAAACAAGTTATGACTCTATTAATGAATGACACTGAGAATCCTATTTCAGGGATTATAGATAAAATTATGCAATTAGGAGATCTGGGGGACTGGGAGGCTAATAAGCCTCCTTCCAATAAAAGGGAAACAAAAGATCAAATGTCACGGAAAGACATGTTCACGGCCCTGCTACAAGCAGGAATTCCAAAAGATCAAGTAGATGGGCAGACACAAGGGATCTATGGAAACTATATTAAAAAAGGAGTTAAATGTAAAGAAGGTCAGCACGGAAGAGGGGCCTCCCCCGCTAAAGAAACTGTATGTACCCCTGTCAGTCCCAGCGCGCCTCCCGCAGCAGATCCATTGCTTGCAGGACATTGGGACTGAGAAACAGGCCAAGCCACCTTGCTGCTTGAGACCGCTGCCACTATTCGGCGGGATGCACGCCCCCATGTCCCGTTAAAAATATATTGGAAAAATGGTTCAATTACTGCGGTATGAGCCGTAGTAGATACGGGGACGGAGGCCACTCTCATTAGTGGAAACCCTACAAAGTTTAAGGGAGCACCAATTGTCATTACTGGATTGGGAGGAAAGGAAATTCCAGCCACAGCTGCTAAATTATGATGCAAATAGGCCAATTACCAAAACAAATGTATTTAGTAATGATTGTTCCAATACCAGAGTATATAATAGGAATTGACATTCTTAAGGGGCTCACCTTAAATCTTGCTATGGGAGATATCAATTCGCAATAAGAGCTGTTTCCTTTCACATACATGCAGTCATTGTGACACTACCCACTGCTACTCAGCTAATTAATAAAAAACAGTACAGAATCCCAGGAGGACAACAAGAGGTTTCTGACACCATTACAGACTATTTAGCTGTAGGAGTATTAAAACGTGTTACAACAGCTTGGAATAAACCAATTTGGCCAGTGAAAAAAGGAGATGGTACCTGGCAAATGACAGTAGATTACTGGGAATTAAACAAAGTTACTCCCCCGATACGGGCTGCTGTCCCTGATTTGGTGTCCCTCACAGAGCCCATTCAACATCATCCTGGCACTTGGCATGCAATAGTGGACCTAGCCAATGCTTTCTTTACCATACCAATTCCTGAGGAAGCCCAAGAGCAATTCGCCTTTACATGGATGGGCCAACGATATACATTTACTACACTCCCCCAAGGATATATACATAGTCCGACCATCTGTCATAGGCAGGTGGCTGAAACTCTTTCACGGTTTAAATTACCACCAGCAATGCAATTGACACATTACATAGATGATATAATGATACAAAAAACATCAGAAGAGACAACACAGGAGCAATTAACTAAATGAATAGAGCTTTTAACTACAGAAGGCTGGAAAACTAATCCAGCAAAAGTACAAGGACCCAGCACAACGATAAAGTTTCTGAGAATATTGTAAAATGCTGGTAAACAAGAAATTTTACCTAAGGCATGTCAAAAAATACTCGATTTTGCAGCCCCATGTAATAAAAAAGAAGCCCAAAGGTTTATTGGATTATTTGGATTTTGGCGGGCTCATATACCTCATCTTAGTTGTTTATTAGCTCCCCTATATAAAGTAACCAGGAAAAAATACGATTTTGTGTGGGGCCTCTCCCAGGAGGAGGCTTTTAAAGCTGTTAAACAAGCAATACAGACTGCCTTAGATTTACGGCCTATACAGAAAGGACCTATTGAAATTCAGGGAGATGTTACTGATTGCTATGCTAACTGGAAGTCTCTGGCAAAAGCAGCAAACTAAATGCTTTCCGTTAGGTTTCTGGAGCCGTAAACTTCCAGACACTAGTAAACATTACACACTCTTTGAGAAACAGCTAGTGGCTTGTTATTGGGCCTGATTAAATTCAAAAGGATTGACCTTAAACCATAAAGTTATACATTAAGACCTCAAATCCCTATAATGCAATGGATCCAAAGTAACCCCATTACACATAAAATTGGTCATGCTCAGGAGGCTAATATAATTAAATGGAAATGGTATATCCAAGATAGGGCAAAACCCGGACCTAAGGGAATATCACCATTACATGAACAAGCTTCTACATACGACATGGAGACTCAGATTTCCCCCACAGGGCAGCACGAAGAATCCCCCGCAAGACGGGGAGGCCCATATGACTCTCTCACAGAGGAGCCAAAACAACATGCTTGGTTTACTGATGGTTCTGCTAAAGTTGTAGGGGGACTAAAAAACTAAAAGGAAGTAGCTTATAATCCATCCACTCAACAAACAATTGTTACTACCGGGGATAATGTGAGTAGCCAATATGCTAAACTTTATGCAATATATCAGGCAATACCACAGAAACAGGGGCAATAATGCTTCGTCTATACTGATTCATGGGCGGCGGCACAAGGATTGACAACATGGATGACACAATAAAAACGACGGGGATAAAAAATTGGAGACAAAGAAATATGGGGTCAGCCAATATGAAAAGATATTTGGAAATGGAGTAAATCAACCACTATTTCAGTATTTCATGTTGATGCTCATAGTCCTTCGATTTCAACAAAACAAAAATATAATGCACAGGTGGATCGACTAGTACAGATTTGCTCCACTGAGACTAATCCAGGATTAAGTGCAAATAATTACAAACAAATTAAACATCTGTCCTGTTCACTCACTCATGTTATGAAAGACACTGTTAGAGCTTTATTTACTATTTCTAAAAAATTACAAGAGTTACGAAAAAAAGCATTAATTCAACAAACAGCTGTAGATTACCTTTTCCTATTACATAAGCTGTCATATATTCAGATACCAGGAATATGTTGTTTTAATGTTACTGATGAAACCTCTACCTTAGACTCTGTAATCAATGACTTACAAAATCAAATTGATAATATTTCTTATTCCAAAGGATTGTTTAATTGGTTACCCTGGCACATGGGATCTATTTTTCGTGATTGCTTTGTATTTGTTTTATGCACTGGCATTGTCATCATGGGATGTATTATGCGTGGCTGTGTACGAAGTTCACTGTCTGTGCGGCTGGTTTCTTACGGATAACCAAGCAGCCGCGGCCGAGATGACTTAACGTAAGTGTCGCCATGTTTGTTCGCTTGGTGACCCTGGGAAACCACCCACACTAAAAAAAATGCAGAGCAGCTGCTTGTGGTGGGAACCGGCCCTTCTCCCACAATACTAGCTGCAATTATTTAGGTTATAAAACTCCTGGGCTGTTATAAAAAACCGGCCATCTGTGCCGGTCCGAGATAAGAGCTGGGAGTTACAGTGCACGTACATACGCAATAACAGTGAGAAGGAAAAATACCAAAAGTTCCCATCGAGATGGTCTCTAAGTAGAAACATGCATAAAAGCAACTCACAATTCTGCTTGGGTGAGAGTCTCGCCTGTGGTGGGGAGGCCTTGCCCAGGACCTCTTTCCATGGACACTCCCGCCTAGCCGTGTCAATTAAAGGGACTCTCTCCCGTGTAAGGGCGTGGATGTTGTGAGTACCTGATCTGATGTTCTCTCTTTTCGATCAATCTGATTTTTTTCTTTTTCGATTGATCTGATGTTTTTCCCTCTCGGTCGATCTGATGTTTTTCCTCTTTTGATCCGCACTCCCGCCTAGCCGTGTCAGTCCAAGGGACTCTCTCCAGCGTAGGGGAGCGGATATTGTGAGTGCCGATCTGATGTCTCTCTCTCGCTCTCCTGCTCTCCCTTATTTCTTTCCATTGTTATTGAATTATTATTTGCTTATGCTGTAGTATACCCATATATATATATTTCTTCCTAATAAATATATGCACTATTTCTCACTAAAACCAGCGTATTGGTGTCTTATTGAGCCAAAAGAGTCCATTCCATAAGTCAATCCAAACTTTGTGCCCCTTCTTCCCTCGCCTGACACAACAGCCCCTTCACCCTGAACCCCCTCTGACTCTCCTGCAGGCCATTCCCAGCCCTGTCCCAGGACTGAGGTGTTGGGCGGGGGCCCTCGACCCAGGGAGGAGGTGTCAGGCAGAGGGGTCCCCGATGCTGGGCAACGAGGAGGACGCGCGGGGACGGCCCCTCACCAGCAGTTGAGCTTCCGCACGCTGTGCAGCTCCGAGGCCTTGGCCCGGGACAGGACCATCTTCCGCGTCAGCTTCATAGTGGCGGCCGCCAGACCCCCAGACCCCGGCCCGGCCCGGCCCGGCCCGGCCCTCACTCGCCGGCTACCCTGCAGGATATATCTGCTCCGCGGCGGCGCGTCTCCAGGGGCGGGGCCCGCGTCGTCAGGGGCGGATCCTGTAAGCCCATTGGCTGTCAGGTGAGGGGCGGGGCGGCGCGAGCGCAGTGGGGCAGCCTGGGTTTCCGCTCAGCGCGTTGGCCCCGCCCTTGCCCGCCTGGCCCCGGCCTTCGGGCCGCGAGCCTGGTCCTGCGCATGCGCGGCGTGGGAATGCCCGGCTCTGACGCAGTTCTGCTGCGACGCGGGATGAAAACTGCCCCGACTTCCGGCTCCCAGCCGCGAGCCGCGAACCCTGAACCCGGAACCCCGAACCCCGAACCCTGAACCCCGAGCCTAGGCCTCCAGCCCCAAATCTCGAGCCCTGAAGCCCGGCCCCCGCTGCCACCCCAGACCCGAGCCCCACCTCAGCCCGGAGCCCCCGGACCCCAGACTTCAGCCTCGAGCCCAGAGCATAGAGCTGATGTTCTCTGAACTGCCCTGAATCACGGCGATTTAAACTGTTGTCCTAGACCTGGGTCGATTCCCTTCCTCCATTCAGCATTTAAGGAAACGAGGCAGGGGCCAAGGAGTGAGGGTGAGGTCAGGGCGCAGCAGGTGGAAGCCAGCTATGCGCATGAGCGGGCTGCAAAACAGGACGCTGTGGGTGCTGAAGGGGGCCCTCCCAGGAGGCTTCTTCTCTTGTGATTTGACAGCTTTTGTCCGTTCACCTGCTCACGTCTGACTCACTACCTGCCTACAACAGTACGAGCTGGCGCTAATAGAGACCTCACAAGTATTTAAACCTCTCAGAAGTCAAAGGTTACGTTCAGACAGACATTTGGGCTCCCAGACCTGTGAGAGGTGACGAGACCTAACTTGAGTCAGCCTCCTCTGAGATCTCTTCTCCTCCGGGCCCCTGTCCTGTCTTTGGCCTGCCCAGCCTGGTCCCAACAAACTCTCTTAAGTCATCCCCTCGCCCTTGATGTCTGACCCCCTCGTTCTGTGATGAAGCTCCCCATCCCCCAAGTGACGTCTTGGCGTCCCTTTAGCAAGATCCCCTACCCTCGAAGTCTCTCGATCATTTTCCATCCACTGGCCCCTCACTCTGCTCCTTGGCTGTACGTCCCCAGCTGTCATTGTATTCGGAGTTGAGGCCAATCTCTCTCCCGTATTGCAATAGTCTTGAAGAAAGTCTTCTTTGCCCTTTAAACAAAAGTGTCAGAATAATTCGTCTTTAACAGAGGGCAAAGGTTGCTTTCCCAGGATGTCACAGCAACATCCAAAGCTTAGGGCCCTGAGACTGGTGGAGGACCAGCCTATACCAGGGACCCATGACAAGATGAGGGGGCATGATTCAGTGGGGGAGAGTGGAGTTTTGCTGCAGGATCTCCCATCCCACCCAACCCCGCCATTTTTATTGTAAAAAGAATGTAGGGGATCGTGATAAGAGAAAAACATTCCCACGGTAGTTTAACCACAGCTGCCGTTTTCTGTCTTTTGTCCCATGTGCTGTATGTTGCTCGTCCGTGGGGTGCTGTAAGGGGCTTTTCCGTCAGATTCTTGCCCTGAGCCCTCTCACTGATGCCTGGGTGAGGTGGCCCAAAAGCAGTGTGTGAGCCTTCTCAGGCAACAGGGGATTTTGGCGTTCTTTGGAGAGGAAGGCAAGCTCACAAACAGAGCCCGTCGGAGTGCTCAAGCGGACGCTGGTTTTAGTAGCGGCCTCCTGGGGACTGGTCCCAGGTACCAGGGCAGGAGAGGCCGGCTCTCCTGTTGGATGTCTGCAGTCACGGAGAGCAAAGGTTTTGGTGATGGCCTGCAGTGGCACTGTGGGTCTATGACAAGGAGGAAACATTCTAGGAATAGGACGGCCGGGAGGCTGGGGAATGAGGAAGGGTGCTGTGCTCTGGGTGGCAATGGGTGGATTTTGGGTTAGGGTGAGAGGTGGGAGGATAGGGCATCTCAGGGCAGTGTGATCCGAGTTCTTAGCCACTAAGCAGGCAGAGAATGATCTGGCTAGTAAGGCTTGAGCTAAGAGAGGTGCAGACACCAGAGCTCAGCCCCACCAAGAGCAGTGGGGAGCTTCCAGCAGGCCCAGGCTGTACAAGCTTGCAGAGGGCCTCTGGCTGTCCCAAATGAGGAGCCATTTCAGGTGGACAGGGACAAAGCAAGGGCTCCTGGGAGCTGTGGAGAGTAGGCTGGGCCAAGAGATGGTGCAGAGTATCCAGAGACTGCCCAAGGTGTGGATAAGGACGCTGCCCATGGAAGGAAGCAAGTGTCTCCAGGATCTGGTTCTGGGGGAGACCGAGCAGATGTATGACAGGGGTGTACACTGTGAAGGGTGCCAGTGGGCTGCTGGCTGATGGGAAGAGGGCTTTGGGGTTACTGGCCCTGCTCGTCCTGGGCCTAACCCCACCTGGCCAAGATGGCACCTCTGCCTTCTACCTGGACTAGTGTAGGTGGGTGAAGGGGACGGTCCAGGTGGGTGGCAAGCCATGCCAGGGAGGGTTATGGGAAAGGCCCCAGCTCTCTAGCCTTGCCAGTCTGGCCCCTGCCCCTGATGGCATCCAAGGGTGCTTGGAGAGGGCTGCACCTGGAGGGTTTTGCATAGGTGAAGGGGGTGAAAGAAGAGAGGTGTGGAGACCCCGAAGGTCTGCCTGGAGTAGGTCAAGGAGCATGCTTTCATGGTGTGTCACTGGGGAGCAGGCACCACTCCTCCCTGAGTCTGGGCAGGCTGCCTGGGCCTCTGGCAGGAAACATCTGTTTCTTGGCTTATGTAGAGGATGGGCTACTGTCAGGCACACACAGAGGGAGGGAGGAGGGGACAGGCTTGCTCATGGCTCTCCAACCTCTGGGCGCTTCTGCAGCCCCAGCCACTTCTAGGTGGCTGTGCAAGAGGGTGGTTGGGGTGTGAATTAGGTGAGGGTCCTGGTGGGTCAGGTGACATTTGTAAAGTGAGGATTCTTTGCACGGTAAGTAGAAGTTTGGTGGTTTCTGTTGTGTCACTGTGCCTTTTCCAGAATGCTCTTCCCCGTGTAGCTCCAGGTGGACTCGACCCAAAGAGAAATTGGCATCAAGGCTTTGGCAGGTGGAGGAGGAGCAGCGGCCATCACACCCCGCAGGCCATCCTGCTCAGAGATGGAGACACAGACGCAGAGGGCGGTGGGGTCTTCCCTGCGGTGTATCCTCTTCCAGAGCTGCAGCCAGCTCTGCTTCTCTCGCTGCAAACTCACAGGGGCCGAGACTCTGAAGGGGCCACAGCTTTCCACAGACTTCTCCACCAGCCCTCCTGTGGGGCCACTTCTGGAGCTGACATGCCCAGCTCCCCCAGGCCCAGCAAGCTCTCTCCTGTGCACCTGCCCCCCTGCCTCAGGAGGGCTGCTCGGTGACCCCCGCCTTCTCCAGCTTTTCCTTTTGGATTTCTAAGTCCCCAGCTCCTCCCACAGTTGTGTAAAGTCGAATTTCTATAACATATTTTGTATTTCATAATACTCAAGGGGTTTTGCTTCCCTCCATTCACCTGACACAGGCAGAAGTGCAACCAAAACTTACTTAAACCAAAAGTGAAACATTGGCTCATGTGACCCAGAAGGCAAGAGTATTGGGTTCAAGCATGGCTTGATCCAGGGTCTCAGTCTCATTATCAGGGCCAGTCTCTAGTCACCCCCACCCTCCAACTGCACGTGTTCAGAAGCTCTCCACCTTCTGCTTCAGGCCTATATCTGAACTGCTTCAAGTCCAGTGGAAAGAATACTTTTTCCCAATTACTCAGGTGCAAGTTTGGGGATTGTCCTGCCACCAGTCCTGTGCCGCCGGAACCTGTCTCTGTGGCTGGTTGCTGGCCTGAGCCACGTGCCCAGGTCTGGAGTTGCCTGGAGAATGGGACGGAGGGGAGGTGACCCAGGGGACATCCGAGGAGAAGGAGAAACCGCCACCCACCTTACCCCTGTGTCCCTGCACAACTTCTTTATTTCAGCAGAGTCTCCCCTGTCTGAGTGGTCACTCTGGGGCTCTGTTCACGGAATTCCCACCGTGGTGGCATCCAGGGGTTGTCACAGTGGTCCTGGCCACGATAGGACAGTCTCTGCTCCCTCTCTCTCTTTTTAAAAAAATAATTTGACATCTCTAAATGCCCTGCTGACTGAATCCAGCTCTAATCCAGCTGAGTCGTGAGCTTCATTTCTGCTGATGCCACGTCACAGACCTGTGTCCTCCCAGAACTCCTGTGAGCAGCATTTCCCCCACGGGCGCCTCCGGTGTCTCCTCCTTGCTGGATCTTTGAATCCTTTAGCACTGGAGAGAGGACAGGAGGGGCTTCCTGTGTGCCAGATGGCCTCCAGGGGCGGCAGAGTGTGGTCATCTTGTGGGTCTTGGGCCCCTGTGCAGTTTTGGGGGTGGCACTGCTCTGGCAGGGGTGACAAGGACCCAGGGAAGGGGTCTGCCCTCCTCCCCGGAGCCCTGACTGCTCAGCTCTCAGCGGGGGCTGCCTCAGTGTCTCAGGGGAAGGTTTGGGCTGCAGGGTGACAGAGCAGAGGGCCCTGCAAGTGAGGAGGGAACGAGCCTCCTCCAGGCTCGAGTCCTGCTCCGAGGATGGTGGCAGAAACTGTCACTAGCTAACAAGGTCACCCCCAGGGTGGACAGTGGACACTTCCTCCTCCCACCGGCTTCCCTTTGGAGACTTGCCCCTCCCAGTGCCAAGGAAGCTGCTGTCCCTTGTCGGGCGGGGAGCAGCCAGGAAGGAAAGTGGCAGCCTGCGGCTGCTGTGGCAGGCTGCTGCCATGGGGGAGCTTGGACACCGAGCTTGGGGCCGGCGTGGAAGGAGGGCGGTGGGTCCTGGTGACTGCGGTGGGTGCTGTGGGCAGAGGTGTGGGTCCTGGCCAGAGGGCCTCTCCCAACAGCTCTCAGCTGAGACCCTCCCAGGAAACTGCCCTCTGCCAAAGGAAGCTGCCCCGCCCAAGCGTGCGCCCCTCCAGCTGGTCGCTGTTGGGGGGCACAAAGTCAGGCCCTTGCGGCTCAAGGAGCACAGCTCCTGGGCCGCTGGCCTCAGAGCTCCCCGTGGGCTCAGGTGGGGCCTCGGCCGCCCAGCCCTGCTCCTCATCCCCTCCGTCCTAGGGCACAAGCAGGAGAGCGCCTGTGTCCGAGGGACCCGGCCCGGAGCTGCTGCTGGAGTCTTTCCTGAAGTGAGCGTAACTCTGCTCTCTGCGCCTGGGCGGGTCCAACACTCTCTGTGGTTTAAATGGATTGGGTTGGATGAGGGTTTCTGAAACTCATGGTCAGGAATACTGTTTAGGGAAGAGCCCACTGTCTGTGCTCAGCGTGCTGGGAGAGGGACTTCAGCAGGGGCCCAGCTGGTGAAGGTCTGCTGGCCGCACCTGGCACCTGTGCCCCCGTGGCCCTGGGGATGGCCTGGCCTCACCCCAGACTCTGTCTCCCCTTTCTCCATCCTCCCTCTCCTGGTGATCCCATTCAGGCTACACCAGCTGGTCTTTCCAACCATCCGAGTGAGCCGTGGCTGCGTAACAAACGGCCCCAAACTCCACAGCTCCTGACAACAGACACTGTCTCCCGGTTCCTGAGGGGTGGGGGAGCAGCTGGGCAGGGTGACATGGCCTGGGGCCTCTTGTGTCAACCTAAAAACAAGAAACTGGTTTAAGAGGCCAAGCGTTTATTTGGGATCAAAGAATTGCAATTTAGGGTACACAGATTTAGGTAGAAACCCAAACAGTGTCCCAATTACAGGAGGTGGACTCAGGATTTTTAGGGGGAAAAAGAAGAAGATGAGGCAGGTTGTTTGTGAGAAGAGGTCGTTGGTGCCGACCAGCAAGGCTGCACTTGTGCTCCATTGATCAGGCATTGGTCAGGGAGTGTGGTCACCAGGCCAAGTGCGCTTCTCTCGTCCGTTCACACAGAATGCTCTCGTTCATGCTGACTTCTGGGAAGGCTGGTGGTTCGGCCCAGGTCAAATGTTCAGAAAACGGGACACGAAGGCAGTTCCCCTGAAGTGGCTGCTCTGGCTCCATTTTAAAATGGCTCCACTTATGTCATGTTTCACAAAGTCAGGCTGGGGGCCGTGGCTGCCATCCCTGATGACCTGAGTGGGTCTTCCAAGCCCACTCATGGGGCTCTGTGCAGGATGCTTCATTCATGCGGTCTCTCCATGGGGCTGCTCACAACACGGCCTCCCCAGAGAGAGTGTTGGAGGGGAGAGAGGGAGAGAAGGAGGGAGAGGGGAAGGGAGGGGAAGGGAGAGGGAGAGGGAGGGGGAGGGAGGGAAAGGAAGAGGGATAGGGAGGGGGAGGGGGAGAGAGGTGGAGGAGGAGGGAGGGGGAGACGGAGGGAGGGAAAGAAGGGGAGAGAGAGGCAGGGGGAGATAGGAGGAGATGGAGGGAGGGAGAGAGAGGGAAAGAAGGAGGGAGGGGGAGATAGGTGGAGAGGGAGAGACAGGGAGAGGGAGGGAGGGAAAGAAGGGGAGAGGGAGGGAGAGAGAGGGAGAGAGGGAAAGGGAGGGAGAGGGGGGAGAGAGGAAGAGAGAGGGAGGAAGGAGGAGAGGAAGAAGGGGGAGAAGGAGAGAGATTCAGCAGAAGTGCTGGGGGCTGCAGTCTTTGTAACCCTAGAGGTGGCCCACTGTTCACCCTGGTGATACTGGCTCAAGACAAGGTTGACATGAGGGAAGCCATACTGTAGAAAAGAAAACCCCTATTGTAACTCTGAATGACCTCTGAGTAACTAGCCCAGCTGGATATGCACCCTCCAGGAGATCTACCTGCTCTGTAGATTTTATGACCCCTGTTTGTACACATACCTCCCAGCTGCAATAAGATGATAACTTTGTTCTTTTGAGTTCCTTCAGAATGTGATGACCCCTGAACAGAGAGTCTATGCTGATAGCCATCATCAGTGAAAACAGAAAGATCTGGTGTGGCACTTCCAGTCTGTAACACCAGAAGGTCAACATTCCTAACCCCTGCCCTATAACCCACTGGCCTATATAACTGCTATAAGATTTTGTGCCCCCTTAAGATGGTTCTTTTGGACATGAGTTGGTCATCTTCCCTCTTGCTAGTAAGCTGTAATAAAAAGTCCTTTTTCTCCTATCACCTTGCTTCTTGACTATTGACATGTCTTGTGGTGAGAAGAAGGCCCCACGTTGGGTGGTAACAGTGTGACCTGGCCGACCCCCTGGTGTTGGAGGTATCAGAGGGGGAGGGTAAGCCCCAAGTCTCCTACTCACAGTGCAGACCCCAGTGTTCTGGAGCAAGGCCGTGCCAGCCGAGTGGGGGTATGCATGGTTTGAAAGCCCTGGCATGTTCCTGGACCCTGGTTGACACCAAGCGACAAGGCTGCCAGCCCCATCATGCCTGGGCATGCAGAGGCCTGACAGGGACCAGCTCCCCACGTGGAGCGCCTGTTCCTCCGCTCAGTGCGGGGAGGGAAGTACACTGTTAGAGCACACGGGGACTCCTAGGCAGGCCGGAATGGCCTGAGCCTCAGGTGGGGGCCCGGAAGGAGAAAGACTGGAAGATTGGGACAAGAAGGTCTGGAAGAAGCACTGGGGGCGGGCCACTGCATGGAGACCCTCATGCCCCGAGTGAAGGCCCATTGGGCATCTGCCGAGGATAAGGCTCTGGACAGCTAGGGAGGGAAAGGACTCGGCCAGTTGATGTCCACTAGCCTCTATCCTCAGCCAGCCCAGGGCTGGCGGTGTTAGGAAGGGCATGGCCATAGTGGCTGGGACAGAGGCCATGCACTGCACCATCCCTCCAAGACATGGCATGCGATGCATTCAGACAGAATGGACATGTCTGGGCTTGCCTTTCCTGCCCGCCCATGGGGCCTCAGGCAGCTCACGGCCTGAGTGCTCACGGTGGTCTCATCCAGCACACAGGGCCCCACGGAACATGGCATCAGATTAAGGGACCCACTCCACAGGCCGAAGGCCCTGCGTGATCGGACCCCGTCCCCCTGCCTTCATCTCCTGCTGCACTCTCCTGGCACTCTCTGCCGGCCAGGCCCTCGCTGTTTTTCTCAAACACGTGGACTTGGGTTCATCTTGGGGCCTTTGCACCTGCTTTTTCCGGGGTCCGGGGTCCAGACGTCTTCCATCAGGTTCTTCTAGCTCCCTCCATCCTCCTCCAGGCCTTGCTCAGCAAGGCTTCGTGCCCTGCCTGACACTGACCTTGCTCCCCTCCAGCTCTGCTCCGTTGAATTCCTCTCGACGCTGACCACAGCCTGAAGTTGTCTATGCCGTTCTCCTCGTGACTGCAGACACGCTCCTGATCTCCATGGGGAACCGCAGAGCACACCTGCGGAGGAGAATAGCGGCATGCATTTATCCACTTTATTCAGCGCCCGGAGAGATCGTTCGGGCTTGGTGTTTCCGGCTCTGTTCTCATCACTGTCACTCCAGAAATGTGCCACCTGTTAGAGAACCCTGGGCAGGCATGCTGCCACCGGAGCGTCCACAGGAGCCACTCCTCTTAGTTGCAGTCTTTGCGCTCCCGTGCAGCATCATCGCTTCAGTTTCCTTTTAAATTTCATGGGCGGTCCTTTCAGATAAGATGTTTCTGGAATGCAGACGACCTGTTGCCTTCGGAGATGAGGAGATGAAGGAAAACCTTGTGTCCCCCAGCACGAAGCCCACTCTTCTTGGTGCTCTCTCTAGACCGGGGGTCAGTAAACCACAGCCCACGGGCTGGACCCTGCTGCCGCCTGTCGTTGGAGATAAAGTTTTATTGGCACACAGCCACATCCATCCATTTATGCTTTGCCAATGGCAGCTTTCCGGCTGCAATGGCAGAGTTGAGTAGATGGGACAGAGACCACGGGCCTGCAAAACCTGGACTAGTTATCATCCGAGCTGAATAGAAGAAGTCTGCAGCCCCTGCTCTGGACTCCGGCCACGCTCGCCCCCACCCCTCGGGCCCTCCATCTGCCCTGCTCTTCTCCGAGGAGCCAGCAGCCTCGCTTCTCCGCCCCTGTGTATTATTCATGACCAGAGTGTGCCGATGCTAGGCCGTCAGATTACCATCTTTTTCACTGATTGCAGTTTTCTTCTTGCTGCCAGAGCAAGGGGCTTTTTAATCTTGGGCATGATGTCCATGCCATGAAAAAGTCCTCTGCTCTGTGTTTCCTTTCTCGGAGCTTGAAACAACTCTCAATCACAATCCAGTCCTTCCGGTCAAATGCCTTTTTATTTCATGAGAAGGACACTTCATAACTGCTCTTGTGACAGGGTCCTGGCAGAAGGAACATGGCCTTATTGTGCAATGTGTGGTTCTTCTCTAGAAGGGAAGGAGTCACGGGGGAGACAATGTGGCAGAGCTGTTTCGTCAGAAGCCTGTTTCATGAGCTACTTCACCTTAAAAGATGTTCCCACAGAGGCCCTGGGACACTGGGAAACCAAAGCCAGCTGGTCCGGGCCTGTCCGGACCATTGCTCTTCGTCAATGAGTGGCTCTCGGGCCAGAAGGCACCCCAGGGAAGGAGCACTGGACGAGAGTCTGCACACAGCTGCTGACAACAAGCTGCTGACACAGGTGGGTCTCCATTCACTAGGAGCTCAGCCTCCTCTCCGGGGCTGGGGCAGGTGTAGCGAGCCTCTTCCTGCAGCCGGTGCTCACCCAGCGCTAACTGCTGCCGGGCTCTGAGGATGCACAGTGGAGGGTGGAGGGCCGTGCCCACTGCAGTGTGCCATCCAGCAGGCCAGAGCCACTGCATCGGCAGTCACACCTGCTGCCGGTTCTTTGATGCCATGGTGCTTTGGAGGAGAGGCTCCAGCTATCTCTGTGCCTATCAGTGTCCTGAAGAAACGGTCACATGCTGCCCCATACAAGGGGCTCTGATGGGTCCTGACCCCTTCAGCTGCTAGAGACCGCCGGATGGCAGGATAGCTAGCGAGACAGGCGACATCCTTCAGCCCGTGGACCCGCGGTACTGCTGGCTGGCTCCTTTGTGGAGAGGCAGGAGCACGTGAAGGCAGGGGGCTTCCAGAGGAGGGTGCCCTGGGCAGGAGTCTAGCCACTAGGCCGGCGCTCCCAGGGGAGGAAAGGAGCAGGTGACTGGTCAGCCAGGAATCAGCTGGCAGCCCCTGGGCGCCAGATTGGAGAGGCCACAGGACCCTCTTCACTCCCCTGGATGCCCAGTAGGGCCCAGGAGTAGCCTCTGGGTGGGGAAGGAGAGGACAGAGGCCTTTGTGGAGTGAGAGAATTGGGGCTGGTAGTTTGGACCTTTAGGGAAAGCCGATCAGCTTTTCAGGAGTCAGACTTCAGTCCCTGTCATCCCTCCAGCCAGGAGGACTGAGAAGGGGCAGTGCCACGAGGGTCGAGTTTAGACATCTGTGGAGCCCTGTGGCTAGCACCTGCTATGGTGGGTGCTGTGTGGTTATGTTACCGGGTGGGCTGGCTGGATTTTCCAGGTTCTTCTTCGGTGTGGCAAAGGAATTTGTGAGCAAACACAAGCAGGAAAGTTTTAAGCAGTTTATTAGCAAGGTGAAAGTACACTCCAAGAGAGGAAGTGGGCAGGCTCAAGGTGAGCGACTGCCCTGAGGTTTGAGTAATTTGTGGGTTGTATAGACTATGAAGGGGATTACAGGGGATTTCTTCAACTGGCTTGTTGCCTCCTCCCTCACGTTGGGAGGGGGAGTTTTTTCCCTTGGACGGTCCCTATTGGAACTGTCATGGTATCCATCCCCTGCAAGGGGGGTCAAAACCCCAATGTGAATTTATTATGATTTCAGTATAATGAAGGTGAGGTCAGGGAAGGGCATGTCGGGGCTCTTTGTGCACCTGCTCTGCCCCGGGGGGGGGGGGGTCTTTAGTTGTTCACTGCTAGGATAGGTGTCAGGATTTGTGGGGTTCTCTGGCTCATAACTAGCTGCAAAACAGGACGTTGTGGGTGTTAGGTGGCCCTGGGAAGAGGCTTCTTTTCTGTTGACTGTTAGCTTTTAACCCTCCCCCTGCTCCTGTCTGGCTTACTACCTGCCTACAACAGATCTTTCCAGCTTCTCCTGCCCCTTTGGGTCCTGCCTTACTGGACATTGTCTCCCGGCATTCAGTCCCGCCAGGAAGACTGGGGAGGGCAGCTGCAGGAGTCCGTGGAGGGGGAACCTGAGGCCCAGGGAGGAAGTGGTTCACTCAGCCCCAGGCCCACTGGGGTCTCCCGACCCCCATGTTCCTCCCGCCCCGGTTGACAGGCTCCTTCCTCTTCCCTGCCCCTGCCCAGGCACATGCGGTTAGGACTTTCAAGGAATCGTTGCCGTGGCTCCTTTAAACGCCGGAGAAACTTGCCACTAGCCGCTAGAGAGGCAAACGCCCGCGTGAGTGCTGGGTCGGGGGTCTCTGGGAAGGCTGGACCCCCCTTATCGCGCGTCTCGGGGCGACCTGGCTCGTGCAGGCTGGTCCTCGGCTCTCGCGGCGGCGGGCGCAGGAGCTCTGCGGGGCGAGTGACGCAGAGCGCGTTGCGGGCGATGCGGGCTGCGCGGGGCGCACGCTCGGCGGGAGATGCGGCGGTCCGGCGGGGCCAGGGCGGCCGTCCTCCGCAGCGGCGCGAGGGACGCGGGGGCGCGGGCCGGCTCCGAGCAGGTACGCGCGCCGGTGATGGACGACACCGGGGTGCGGCCACCAGGTAGCGGGACCGGCGCTGGGGCGGAGGCGCGGGCCAGGGGAGGCTACGCCGGGGTCCAGGGGCGCGTGCCGCGGGGAGGAAGGGTGCGCAGGGCTGGAGTGAGTGCACCGCGGGGTGCGGAGACCTAGGCGCTGGCCGGGGTGCCAGTGCGGGCGCGAGGGCGCCAGCTGCGGCGCCACTGGAGCGCGGGGACGAGTGCAGGCTAGCGGGTCGTGGTGTGGGCCGGGGCGCAGGCGGGGGCGCGGGCACGGGCTGGGGTGTCGGGGCGCGGGGTGTGGAGACCGAGGTCACCATGACACTGGGCGCAGGGACACGGGCGCTGCGACAGGACTGGGGCGCGGTCTGCCGGGGGCGCTGTGCCCCACCTTTGGGAGATGAGAGGCCCATTTCAGACTCTTGTTCTGAACCCTCTACAAGACTACAGGGCCCACTTCTGTCGGCTGGTACTTCCTTAGCCACTCTCCACATATAGCTATTTATAGCCTCCAAAGTGCCCTCACAGCCAGGACTTCAGAGGATGCCGGAAGTCAGGAGCGGCAGGGAGCAACTACGCGGTTTAGAGAGAGAGGTGGAAAGGGCAGTGCATATCCTGGGCAACTGGCCAGTGCGCCCATGGCCAGCCCCCCAGATAAAGTCAGCGTGCCCACGGTCAACCCCACACATAAAGTCAGCCCACAGCCGGCCCCACATATAGAGTCAGCGTGCCCACAGCCAGCCTCACGTATAAAGTCAGCGTGCCCATGGCCCGCCCCATAAAGTCAGCGTGCCCATGGCCCGCCCCATAAAGTCAGCGTGCCCACGGCCAGCCCCATGTATAGAGTCAGCGTGCCCATGGCCGGCCTCACATAGAAAGCCTGTTGTTCTATTTCCTGGTGAATCTTTTGGGCTGAGGTGCGTTGGGTACAAGTGTACCCCACAAAGTTGTCTTTGTGAGTCCCCTTGGTCCTGGGCCCACATGGCAACTGTAAAAATCTGTGACCAGGAATTTTATTCTGTGTGGCCTTGGTGTCTGTTCTCGATGGTGGGGGTGGTTTACACCAGGGGGTCATTCTTTCAGCCACCACCCCTGGAATGCAGCAACCTGGGGTGAGGTGCAGCTTGGGTGCTGAAATTGCTCAGAGGCTGAAACAGATGGGTGTGGACTTGCCCCTCCCCATGCACCTGTGCTTGCTTCCTGTGGGCCCCCTCAGCACCTCTCTCCTCCTGGGGATGGCTCAGTGCGGAGCTCAGATTCGGACGTTCACCCCAGGTCGGCTTTGCCTCTGTTCAGGCCCACTCGCTCTGTGGCAACAGCTCCACATTCTCCTCAGGTGCCTTGTGACAGATGGCATTTATAGATGTGCATTTTGTATGACTGTGTATTTAGGCTTGTGTGCTGTCAAATTCTATGTATGTATCTATCAATCTATATATCTATCTACCTACCTACCTGTCTATCCATCCATCCATCTATCTATCTATCCATCTATCTATCTATCTATCCATCTTCATTATCTATCTATCTGTCTGTCTGTCTGTCTGTCTGTCTATCTATCTATCTATCTATCTATCTATCTATCTATCTATCTATCTATCTGTCTACCTACCTGTCTGTCTGTCTATCTATCTATCTATCTATCTATCTATCTATCTATCTATCTATGTATCTATCTACCTGTCCATCCATCCATCCATCCATCCATCCATCTATCATTATCTATCTATCGATTGATCTATCTATCTATCCATCCATCTTTGTTATCTATCATCTATCTGTCTATCTATCCATCCATCCATCTATCCATCCATCCATCCATCTATCTATCTCCATATATCTATCATATCTATCTGTCTAGCTATCTGTCTGTCTAGCTATCTGTCTATCTATCTAATCTATCTATCTATCTAATCTATCTATCTATCTATCTATCTATCTATCTATCTATCTATCTATCACCATATCTGTCTGTCTGTCTGTCTATCTATCTATCTCTCTATCTGTCTGTCTATCTATCATCTACTTTCTTGGAAGTCATTTACTTTCAAAGTGTTCTCAACACACACCTATGTCAATTGCTTATGGAGAATTTTAGCTATAAACCAGGGTGGCCAAAATTGTTTTTAGGTGATATGTGTAGAAAGGGACTGATGATGTGATTCTGTCAAGAAGAACCCCAGCTGTTGGATGGGGGACTTTGTAAGGTTGTTGTCAGCCCTGGGTTTTCAGACTCTTCCAGGGCCCAGGCTCTTGGACAGGGGGAGGGGAGAGGAGGAGCAGGGGGAGCAGAAGGAGGGTTGGGCCAGCGTCCCCCATGCACCTGGGGGGCACGGTTACAGCGTGGCTCCTGGCGCTGCCCTGCCAGGTCTGATGGGGTGGTAGCCAGTGGAGTGGTGTTTGACATATTTCCCAGGGACTTGTTGGCAGGTGGGACTTGAGAAAATGTGTACAAGACCCTAGTGGGTGTTCTGAGATGGCAGCTGTCTGAAAAATGGGAATGTGAGCAAGAGCACTTCAGAGTTTCTTAAGACAGAATCTTTTATGGCACATACTGCTGTCTGCCCCTCGGCCCATTTCATTCCCACCCTCCCGTCGTTCTCGTCCTGTGCAGGTCAGAGCCCTGGAGAGGGTGGCTGGAGCCGCCTCTAGTCCAGGTCCCCTCACAGGCTGTCTGACTCTAAGCTTCCAGGAGCCTTGGTTTCCTCTTCTGTCAACTGGGAACATTGGTTGCCATCTGCTTCCCTTGGAAGCTGGATGTGAGGCCAGGTGAGCTGCTGTACAGGGCACAGATGGCCCTGTAAGGGCCATACAGGTATAAGGCATAACCTCCATCGTGAATGCTGTGCTGGAAGGCCCTGGGCAGCACTACTGGGCCATCACTGGTTACTGTTGTGTCTCAGTCCATTCTGGCTGCTCTAGCAGAATACCATAGACAGGGTGGCTTAAACAACAGAACTTGATGTCTCACAGTTGTGGAGGCTGGAAGTCTGAGACCAGGGTGCAGCGTGGGTGGTGAGGGGCGTCTTCTGGGCTGCAGACTTCTTGTGTCCTCACGTAGTGGAAGGGGCTGGGAGCTCTCTGGGGTCCCTTCTATAAGCACATTAATCTCATTCATGGGGGCTCCGCCCTCATGACCTAATCACTTCCCAAAGCCCCTGCCTCCTAAGACCTCAGTTTTGGGTTGGATTTCAACATATGAACGTCAAGGGAACACATTCAGACCATAGCATCCTGGCCCTGGCCCTGGCCCCTCAAAATCTATGTTCTTATTGTGTGCAAAATACATTCCTTCCATCCCGACAGCCCCAAAGTCTTGACCCATTCCAGCGTCAACTCTGAAGTCTTGTGTCCCTTTGGGGCTCCTGGGCAGGGCTGGGTGCATGCCGGAGTGGCCAGGGTGGAGATGAGCTCTTTCTCTGGCCCTTCGCCGTGACAGAGGTAGTTACAGTTATGAATGGGTGCCCGAGGCCCCGGGGGTGTGGGTGTGCTGTCACACTGCCCAGGGGCTCCAGCCGGGGGCCAGAGCTCAGGCAGCCAGGAAATTGTGCAGACCGACAGACAAATGGAGTGGGCTCCACATGAGGAAGCACATGCTGGCTCCTCTGAGGACATCTGCCTCATTTCCCCTCTGATCTATTTCAGCAGCCCCCAGGGTGTGTTTCCAGAACCCTCAGCCTAGCAAGCTGGAGAAGAGCCTGTGCTGAGGGAGGCGGGAGACCGTGGAAGCTGGAGTGGGGCCATCGGGATGGAGCCCTTGGCCCCCAGGAGAGCTGGCTCCAAGCAGGAGGAGGGCTTCGGGGGGCAGCCCAGGAGGGTTGCCGAACTGGTCATGCTCCCCGATCTCCGGCGAAGCAGCAGCGGTGTCAGCAAGAATAAGAAGTCCCAGTACCTCCTCAGCAACTGTGAAGAGGTAGGCTTCCGACAGTTAGTGGGGGCCCCATTGGCCGGCTCCACCAGAGCCCTGTGGGGCACATGACCACCCAGGGAGGGGCGTGTTTCCTGCCTGGGCAGAGACTTATCTGGCTTGGGGGCTCCAGCCCAGAAAGGCCCTAAGGAGAGAATTGGAGAGAACGGTAAGGCCAGATCTGTGCCCCCCGGGGATTGCACAGTCGCTTCCTGTTCTTGTTCCGACTGGAAAAGTGCTGAGAACCACGACAGTCCTGGGCCAGGCTGGTGGAAAGCATAACCACGACCTCATTGCGCAGTGATTTCACTTCCTTGACTGGGAACGCCCCGAGCGCCGTCTGTAGCCCTGGGCTGGTTTCCCGGAAAGCCCTGGAGAAGACTGTTGAAAGAGATGCTTGACTTGCATGGTCCCCTGGTCAGGTGGGCAGGGGGGCAACTCAGCCTGTGTCCCACTAGGACAAAGGCAGACCCTCCTCTGCCATCTTTCCACCACCCTGAGTTGTTCTCGAGGAAGGCAGTGTTGACAGACAAGGTGTAAAGTGCTGTGCTGGTTCAGATGGGGCCCATGAGGAGGTGATTCCACCGGTTCAGTCCTGCCTCCCGAATCCACACCTGAGCGCCTTTGGCCTGAGCGCCTTTGGCGAGGGTAGTTTACCCCTCGGTGTGGCAGGGGAGGGCTGGGGTCTTGCTTCTCTGAAAAAGGACCCTGAAGCTTGTCAGGGAGCATCCGTGTGTCTAAGAGAAGCCCTGGATGTGCTCGTTTGAAAGTGTTGATTTGATGCCAAAGGATCTCAAAGTGCCCTTTTTACCCTCAGCAAGACAATTCGAGTTCCTGGATTCTTGAAAACATCAAGAAGAAAGAGTGCGTTTACTTTGTGAAGAGCTCCACGCTGTCTGATGCTGGGTAAGTGGCCTGCTTCCTCTCGAGGGCCCCTTTCTCTGTCCCCAGGCGGAGCGGCTGATCAGAGGAAGACCGACCCACCTCGGCAGGAGGACAGTCCCATGTCTGTGGAGGCCTAGGTGCTCGGGGCATTTCCATTCACCCCACAAACAGTGTTCATTGTGTCTGTGTTTCCCGCGGAGCCACACCCTAGTCCGCGCTGTGCCACACAGGGGCCACGCTCTTCCTTACTTCTACTCCTTCTTCAGCACCTGGTGAGCTCCTGTTTATCCTTCAAGGCCTGTTGCAGATGCTGCCTCTGCTATGGAGCCCTCTTTGACCACACCCCAGGAAGTCACTTCTCCCTCCCACCACACTCTGTATATTTCCCGTTTATACCAGCTGTCGATTGCACTGCAATTGTGTGGCTTTGTGGTTATGTCTCTTGCTGGTTCTGAGCACCAAGGCAGAGACACTTGTTACTTCCTGTGCTGGACAAGTAGTTGTGTCCGGCTCATATTTGTTGAATGATGCAGGGAGGAGGAGCATCCTGTGCTGGGAGGATTGAAGAGGATTACGATATGGAGTCAGATATGAGCGATCACCAAAGATCATGTCGTTTTTTGGGTCCTGTGATATGCCCAGGGTGTTGTCACTAAAAGTGCACTGGGCATGTTTTGGGGTTCATGCCCCTGGCTTAGCTCCTCTTCAGATAAGAGCCCTCATTTCTCACTGAGCAGACCCTTGAGTTAGAGAAAGTTGCCACCATGCTCCAGCGGACAGCTTCATGGCTACTAAGTAACCTCTCATATTCTTGGTGCATAATCAGAGTTTCAGGTTCACACTACTTATTCTGACGGTAAACAGAGAGTACTTCGCAATGAGGTCTCAAGTTTTAGTTATTATTATTATTTTTTTGGTGAGGAAGATTAGCCCTGAGCTAACATCTGTTGCCAATCCTCCTCTTTTTGCTGAGGAAGATTGGCCCTGGGCTAACATCCGTGCCCATCTTCCTCTGCTTTATATGTGGGACTCCTGCCATGTATATATGGCTTGATAAGTGGTGCGTAGGTCCATGCCTGGGATCTGAACCTGCAAACCCCGGGCAGCAGAAGCAGAGTGCGTGAACTTAACCACTACACCATGGGGCCGGCCCCCAGTTTTAGTTATTTTAAAATAGGTTTATAAAAATAGCCTCGGAGGGAATGTGTGATACACAAGCTTCCTGCATAGGAATCACTGGTTTCAAAAACATTTTGTAGACTATTGCAGTAATCTGGTTTCTGGTTTGTAGGGGTACGGGGGCACCATTGGTCAAACTCTGGACCACTTCTTTCCTCTGAATTCTGAACTGTGGAGAAATGTTGACAGGAGTCAGCGAGGGTCGGGGGATACAGCTTCCTACTCCTTTAGTACTTCCGTCCCGCTTTGAGGAACTAGTGCTCAGCATGGGTTTGGTTCTGAAAACTTCCGGAAGCACCTTTACTAGGATTAGGTTTAAGGCAAGGAGCTGCTCCAGGGAGATAGCAGATGGAATGGCTTTTTCATTCCAGTGTTACAGCAGCTCCTTCAGATTGCAGGAGGGGACCTAGATTGGAGAGAATGTGCTTCCAAGAGCTCTCGTTTCTCCCACAGGGTGCTAGGAGTGGTGTTCCTGTTTATGTCCATCTAGGCCAAGAATTCAGGGGCAGGTTCTCTGATGATTTAATTTCTGGGTCAGTGGTCTCAGCGCAGTTTCTTGCACTGTGTCAGGTTTGGTAACACACACAGGTTTAAGATCTAATCTCATTCGAGGGCAGTGGTTCAAAGAGGAGAGGGAAAGGAGGAAGCTTGTTATGGGCTAACTGTTAGAAACTTAAGGGAAAATTTGGGGCAGCCTTGGGCCAAGATACGAGAGCTCGGGCCCCGTCCTGGGGACTTCCTTCCCCGCCTTGGCCCCAGTCCTCTCATCTATAAATTGAGAAGGCCACACAAGGTGTTCCCTAAGATTCTGCACGCCTTGAGTCTACCTAGGGGTCAAGAGGAGGGTCAGATGGGCGTGACTTGAGTTCATCATGGCGTGGGCCTTGTGCTCACAGCCCTGGGAGCCCCTGCGTGAGCAGTGGAAACTGGGGGTAGCAAGGGACACGCTTTGTGAGTGGTGAGCCGAGAGGAGCCCAGGAGCACTTGGGTACGCGGTGGGTGGTGGGTCTCTCAACTGATCCTTGGTCCTCTGCATGGTTAGTTCATTTGCACTAATTTTATAAATTATTTCCCATCCCCAACCTCATTTAACCTTCTCAAGTTTTGCAGGGCCGGGGTCAGGGAATGTATTATTTTTCCCATTTACTGGTTGAGAACTTGAGAATCAGAAGCATCTAAGATCACACACTTGCTAAGGGGCAGAGAAACCTGTTTTCTTTCTCCTGGTCCAAGAGTCTGTCCCCTGTATCATCTGGCTCATCTGGTTTTAGACTTTTTTTTTTTGGTCTCATCTGTATCTAGTCCTCTAGGTCGTTTATTACTAGCAAAAAGTAGGAATCTAAAAAATGTGTACGTTTCCAATCAAATAAGGTGTGCAGAACACATGTTTGTCTCCTCTGTCTCCTCAACCCCCAGTAAACAGTAGTAAAGGAATAAAAAGATTTCAACCCCTGCAGACAAAGAAACTAAGAGAGGAGGTAAGAATTGAAACAGGCGTTGATGCATTCTTGGTGGGGAAAGCAGAGAACACAGGGGCAGCTCCTGAAGGTTGGAGTTCTTCTGGAGCGTGACCAGGTGCATCCACCTGGGCCTGGTGGGAGGGGGAGAGTTTGGGGGACCATGTACATCCTGCTAGCCTGTGTCTGAGAGTTTTTGCTTTGAGCCTGCACCATGTGGGGTTTTTACCCTTTTTATTTTGAAATAATTATAGATTTATGGGAAGTTGCAAAGATACTACAGATAGATTCTGTGGTCTCACCAATAGTTATACACTTGCCTCTACCCTACCATCCCTAACCCCTGGCGACCATTCATCTGTTCTTCATCTCTATAGTTTTTTCACTTCTAGAATGTCACATAAATGGAATCATACACTATGTGATCGTCTGAGACTGGCTCTTTTTTTCGCTCAGTGTAAGGCTGTTGAGATCCATCCAAGGTGCTGTGTGTGGCAACAGGTTGCTCCTCGTGGTTGCTGAGTGGTCCTTCACCTTCAGCGGGCCTATATCGTCATAGATGAAGTGAGGTTTTTGTAGACAACAAATAATTGGGTCTTATTTTTTTTTTAAATCCACTCTGCCAATCTCTGCTTTTTAGCTGGTGTATTTAGACATTACGTTTAATGTAATTATTGATATGTTAGGCCTTCAGTCTGCCATGTTATTTTTTGTTTTGAGTTTGTTCTGTATTTCTTTTCCTGACTTTCTGTAGGTTGCTTGAACAGTTTTTAGAGTTCCATTTTAATTTATCTATACTGTTTTTTTTCTCCCCTGAGGAAGATTTGCCCTGAGCTAACATCTGTGACAGTCTTCCTCTATTTTGTATGTGGGTTGCTGCCACAGCAAGACCACCAACAAGTGGTGTAGGCTGCACCCAGGAACTGAATCTGGGCCACCAAAGTAGAGTGCACCAAATTTAACCACTAGACCACAGGGATGGCCCCATCTATACGGTTTTTGAGGTATCTCCTTATAGAGCTTTATTTAGTGGTTGCTTCAGGCATTACATTATATATACATAGCTTATCATAATCTACTGATATCTACTGATCTGCTGATCTTACATAATCTACTCATATGTGTATGACTTAGTCTCCTGGTGTTGACCAGTTTGAGTGAAGTGTAGAAAAATTACCTCCTTTTACATCCCTTACCCGTCCCCATTTGTAATATAATTGCTTAAAATATTTCCTCCACGTACATTGAGAACCGTGTTAGATAGTGTTGTAATTTTTGGTTCAACCATCGAACACAATTCAGAAAATTCAAGAGAAAGAAAATGTATTCTATTTTCACATATTTTTTCTCTTTCTATTATTCTTTCTTCCTTTCTGATATTCCAAATTTCCTTCTTTTATCATCTTATTTCTGTTTAGAGAACTTCCTTTAGCTATCCTTGTAGGGTAGTTTTGCTGGTGACAGATTCCCTTAGTTTTCTTTCGCCTGAGAATGTCTTGACTTCCCTTTCATATGTGAATGATATTTTTGCTGGATGTAGAATTTTGGGGTGGTAATTTTTTGAAATTCAGTATTTGAAAAATGTTGTGCTACTTCCTTCTGGCTTCTGATGAGAAATCAGTTGTTGTTTGAATCGTTTTCCCCCAACAGCTAAGGTGTCATTTCTGTCTTGCTGTTCTCAAGATTTTTTCTTTGTCTTTAGTTTTTAGAAGTTTGACCATTGTGTGTCTTGGCTTGCATCTCTTTGGGTTTATCCTGTTTGGTGTTCACTTAGATTCTTGAATCTGTAGATTTATGTCTTTTTTTCCAAATATGGGAAATTTTGGCCATTCTTTCTTTTTCTTTTTGCTGTTGTAGGTAGTATTGTTTTTTTATTTCACTTTTAAATTGTTTGTTACTTCTATATAGAAATAAAATTGATTTATGTATGTTGACCTTATATCCTACAAACTTGTTAGACTTACTTGTCAGTTCTTGTAGTTTTTTTGTAGATTTGTTAGGATTTCCTACATACACAGTTATGTCATCTGTGATTAAACATAGTTTTGCTTCTTCTTTTCCTATCTGTGAGCCTTTTCTCTTTCTTTCCCTCTCTCTCTCTTTCTTCCTTGCTCACTTACTTATTAGCTAGGACCTCTAGTACACTGGTGAGGGCAGACCTCCTTGTCTTGTCCCCTGTCTTCCAGATAAAGCATTCAATCTTTCATCATTGAGTATGACGTTAGCAGTAGGATTTTCATAGATGCTTTTTTATCAGGTTGGGAAATTCTCCTCTATTGCTAGTTTGTTGAGAGTTATTTTTATGAATGGGTGTTGAATTTGGTAAAATACTTTATGCACCCAACCAATTGATCATATGACTTTTCTCCTTTATTCTGCAAATATGATAAATTAGATTTATTCATTTTTAAATTAACCCAACCTTGCATTCCTGGGAAAACTCCCACTTGGCCATAATCTCTTTGCATAGTTTTTCAGCCTTGCCTTCTTTCTCTTGTCCTTCTGGACTCTGATGACGTGGATGTTTGATTTTTTGTTTATTCCAGAGGCTCTGTTTATTTGTTTATTTAGGTCTGTTTTCTCTCTGTTGTTCAAACTGGGTTGTTTCTATTGTTCTATCTTCGAGTTCATGGATTCTTTCCTCTGTGACATCCATTCTGTTACTGAGTTCATCCACTGAGTTTTCAAAATTTTGGTTAGTGCATTTTTTAGTTCTAAAATTTCCATTCGATGTATCTTCTATTTCTTTGCAGGGACTTTATGTATTTTCATTTTTTCAAGTGTATTCATGGTTTCTTGTTAAAGCATTTTTATGGTGGGTGCCTTAAAATCCTTGTCAGATAATCCCAACATCTCTGTCATCTTGGTGTTGGTGGCTGTTGTGTTATGTCATTCTGGTTGAGATTTTCCTGGTTTCTGGTATAGCTACTGATTTTCAACCAAAAACTTGATATTTTAGGTATTAAGGTATGAGACTCTCGATCCTGTGTTTTAGCTAGTCCCCTATGACATGCCTATGGAGAAGAAGGGCACCATCTCATTATTGCCACATGGGAGTGGACGTCCAAGTCCCCCTCAGCCTCTATTGATACTTGCTAGGGAGGGATATCTTGTTCCTGCTTGGGGTGGGGGGAGTTCCAGCTCCCCACTGGGCCTCCACAGATCCCACCCTGGCTGGGAGAGACAGGGGTGCCTTGTTATTGCCCCCCACGTGGCCTCCACTGACACCATGGCCGTGGTGCCTCATCACTGCTGGATGGGGTGAAAATCCTGGGTCTCCACTGGGCCTCCACCGACACCCCCAGCAGGAGCAGGAGTGGCACCCCATTACCTCTGGTGACTGTGTGGTCTTTGCAGGAAGGTGGTGTGCGAGTGCGGCTACCCATGTGAGCAGCACTTGGCAGAGGCCATGAACCCCTACGCCTTCCAGGGCGAGGAGTGGGACCCAAAGAAGCATGTCAAGGAGATGCCCACAGACGCCTTTGGTGACATTGCCTTCCGGGACGTGGGCCAGAAGGTTGGAAAGGTAGATTTCCATCACTCCGTTGTTCTTACTGTGGACCAGAGCCCACTGTTGGTGACCGTCGGTGGCTGGGATTTTCTGGGGTGGGAGTGGGAGGCTGGCCAAAATCCCAGGGACACAGAGCCCTCCTAGGGCTAAGGATTGGGTCGGGGGGGGCTCCTCAAGGCATACAGGAGACACAGGGTGCTCAGCATCCTTGGTCACCACAGAGCAGGGTGGGGCTACGGTGAGCGTTCTAAGGAAGGTGTAGGGAGTGAGGTGAGTGAATTCTAGCTGAAGGGCCCTGGGCATCATCTTGTTGGGCCTTGGGGGAGCGGGAGGAGCACACAGGCACAGGCACAGGCGCTGGACATGGGGCATCTTGAGGAATGGCAGTGAAGGGTGGGATGGGAGAGAGGGCTGTCAGAAGGGGTTCGGGGATGGTGGGAAGAGGGTGAGGTGAGAGGGGTGGGATGGGAGGCCCGCAGTGGGAAGGTTAACTGTCCTGGTAGCAGAGTCGAGAGCCGTGACAGGTGGCCACAGCAGGGCGGGAGCCCAGCGGGGCCCTAAGCCTGCACGGGAACATGGGAGGGACAAGGAGAGGCCCAGGCCCTGGCTGGGCTCTTCAGGTGCCGTGGATTGCAGGGTGGTCCCTGGACCAGCAGCACCGCCAAGCAAACTCGGGCCCCATTCTAGACCTGCTGAATTGGAGGCCCAGCCACCCTCATTTTAACCAGCCTTCCAGAGGATTCTGAGGCAGCTCTTGGGCGCCACTGTTATGGGGTCTGGTGGAGCCACTTATTTCTGTGCTTGCGTTCTGGAACCCCCAAACCTCTTACTAGCTGGGTGTGACCTTTCCTCTGAGTCTCTGAGATGCTGCTCACTTGGCCAAAGAGGTTGGGCAAGGAGGGTCCAAGGATGCGGTCACACGGCTTCCTGGGTGGCCACCGGTCCAGAGCCCCCTGCATCAGCACCATCACGTGTCGGGTGCTTGCCAAACCGTTGTCCTTTTGAGCCACTCTCAGGGCCATTCCAGCCAGGCTGAGTGTCTTCAGATGCGGCTGGCTTAACCTGAGAGAAAGCATCCTCTGTGGAGTGTGCGGGGGTCTTCTGCAACATGGGGGCTCAGAGTGAGAGTGGCTCCAGAGGGCAGTGTCTGGACTGGAGGTCAAGGGCAACTGACCCCATGTGACGGCCAGGACGTGGGGACCCAAGGCAGGGCAGCAGCCGAGAGGGAGGCTGTGCTGGATGAAGATGGAGAGAAGGAAGGACAGGGCAGCAGCTGGTTAAACCTCGAAGGACGCGATGGCAGGCCAGCTGTGATGGCGGGGTGGGACGTGGGGCCTGGGGCTGGGGGCACTCCCAAAACAGAGAGGAAGAGTAGAGAGGGAGCTGGGCTGAGGGCTTGTGAAGGTGAGGGCTGGTTCCTTCCCATGGGGCCCCTCTTTTTGGCCTTGCCTCCCCCTTTTCTCCCAATCCGTGCCCTGCATGGGCACGGCCCTTTTTTCTCGCTGGATCTAGACCCCGGGGTGAGGCGTCCACCCACCTGGTTGGGGCTCTCAGGCATGGCAGGGCGTGGGGGCACCGCCCCCCTGCTGCTCTACAGCCTCAGGCTGGGTGGGCCGCCCGCTGACCCAGGCTCCTCCGCTGTCCTCTGACGTCCCTGCAGTACGTCCGCCTCTCCCAGGACACGCCCTCCCACATCATCTATCACCTCATCACCCAGCACTGGGACCTGGACATCCCCAACCTCCTCATCTCGGTCACTGGCGGGGCCAAGGACTTCAACATGAAGCCCAGGCTGAAGAGCATCTTCCGCAGGGGCCTGGTCAAGGTGGCCCACACCACAGGTAGTGCCCGGGGAAGGGGGGACACGAGGCCTGGGGGCTGGGAGGCACTCAGGCCCGGGAGCAATGGATGGGCTGAGGGGTGAGTGGGTCCCAGCGAGGCAGAGCTGGGCCATTGGGACTGCTTGGCCCTCGGGGGGTCACTGAGGCCAAGCCAGGCCCCGGTGGGGAAGCGCGGGGTCAGACTCACCCACCCCTTGCCGGCCCATAGCGCCTTCCTTGATGTCCTGCTGCTGCCCCTTGGCTTGCTCGTGGGGTCAGACAGGGCTCCCGTTTGCTCCCTGGTGATGACGCCCCGCTCTGCGCCGAGAGGAGGGCTGGAAGCCCTGAGCCTCTGCGGTGCAGGCAGGGGAGGCCAGCAGGCTGGGTGAATCCTGGGGGTGTAAGTGAGAGTTTCTGTTGCCTGATCTTTCTGTCAACGTCGCGAAAGGATGGATTACTATTTCCACCTTTTCCCGTGAGGCGCCTGCCTCAACGTTGAGTAACTCCCTGGGGTCACCCTTCTAGAAAGGGCAGGGCAGGGGCTGGAGGGCCAAGACCCCGTGCCTGCCTGCCATGCGCAGGGCTCCATGTGTGGCGGCCCTTGGTGCTCTCTCAGTGACGGCTGATAAGCAGACCTCGTGCCCGGGGCATCCGAGGGGTTCCACTGGGGTAGATTAATGCAAGGAGAGCAAGGATTTGGGGTCCAGGTGAGACTGGGGTCACCCAGAGGGTGCTGATCCTCTTCCTGCGATCTGGTTTCAGGAGAATGTGAGGGTCACACCTTCCATTTAGTTTTTGCCCTGAAACAGAGTCTTAATTGGCCGGTGTCACTCAAAACTTCCTTGGTTTCGTCATCTACCTGTAGGCCCCAGGTTTTCTGGACTCTTGCTTTCCCTCCATCCCTGCCTGCAGATTGACCAAATCTTTTCTCAGTCATGGGAGACTTGGCTCAATGCAGCTGACCGTCACCCAGGCACACTTGTGACCTTTGCCACGCATTCATTAGGTGCTCACCTGTCCCCCAGGTAATCATAGGTGACAGATTTACCACGTCTCGACATTTATCTTTTTAGCATTCAATATCTGTGTCCTTGCTGCCACTTCCCGGCCCCAAGGCAGTGCCATATGTTTTAGGTTGTTTTTTATGGCAACACCATGACTGGCTTCCAGGCACCGATTTCTGCACAGTCGTCGGCACTGTGCTGGGAACAACAACCCAGACGACAGCAGACGTGACTCTGTGCTTATGTTTCGAGGAGGTGGCTGCAGGTCTGCGGCTGCAGCTGCACCCCGTGTGTCCTCTGGCGGGGACACTGCTGGAGGAGCAGACCCCACTGGCAGGTGGAGCGCAGCAAGAACAGCTGGCAGGAATTCAGGTTGCTCAGACTTGGTGTTGGTTCTGCTCGCCTGCGTGAGGTGACCCAACCGGGCCACCTGGTCAGGCTGGACAGTGGGGGTGGGAAGTACGTCCCCCACGGGGGCCACTTCAAGTCACATGGCAGTGGATGGGAGGTATGATCCCTTACAGGGAACAGGGCCCAGTGATCGGGCACAGGGATACGGTCTACCACACTCCTGGCCCAAAAACTGGGAGGAAGAAGGGAAATTTGTGTGTCTTGAAAGAGAAGCAGAGACATTTCTGAGGTGCTGTGTTCCCGAGACCAGGACAGAGAGGAGGTGGGAGAGAGGACAAGGCCGGCAGTCGGAAGACTGGTGGGGCTGGGGGTGGGGGCTGTTCCTGTCCTCGTGTTGTTGTCCCCTCCCCGTGCTCCCGCCGCCCCCTCTTGCCCGCCTACCTGAGCAACGTGATAAGCCTCAGCTCCCGGCTGCAACATGAAGACATAATTGTGCTGTGGCTTCCTCCGAAGGCCTGGCTTGGAAACTTTCACCTGATCGTGCGTTTGAAGGCCCCTTGCATAGGGGCTCTGCAGCTGTGGGCGAGTGAGCATTGGAAACATACAGGGCCTTTGGTGTCAGGCTTGTGCGTGGCAGGGTGCACACCAGGCCTCTCTCCTTTCCCCAGGGGCCTGGATTATCACCGGGGGGACCCACACCGGCGTGATGAAGCAGGTGGGCGAGGCGGTGCGCGACTTCAGCCTGAGCAGCAGCTGCAATGAAGGAGAACTTGTCACCATTGGAATTGCCACGTGGGGCGCCGTGCACAACCGGAGGAGCCTGATCCATCCCACGGTGAGCCGAGCAGTCCTGCTCCTGGGGTGGCGGGGTCAGAGGAGAGCCGGGGAGGCAGTGAGGTGATGCGTCGGATCTTACGGGGTGCCGCAGGGGACAGGCCACCATCTGTGCCCCAGGGTAAATGCAGCATGGAGGGGAGAGGCTGGGCAGGGACGCAGGAGACCCAGGCTCAAGTCCCCCACGCCGCAGACTCTAGTGACCTGGGACAAGTAGCTAACTTGGCTGGACTCTGGCTTCCTCCCTTGAGATTACTGGATGGGTCCATAGAGGAATCGTCGTCTAAGAGCCACCACTGGTCAGGGGCTCTTCTGATGGCTGTTCTGATGCGAAAGGAAATAGACTTAGTGGAAGGAAGTGGCTTGGCCAAGAGCACACAGCCAATGAGCATCTGAGTTAGCTTGAACCCCGGCCGTCTGATCTCAAAGCCTGACCTGTGACCCTTGAACTCCTGCACTCAGAGTTCTCCTCCATCCCAGGGACTGCACGATGCTCTGACCTCCAACAGTCATTACACACCAGGAACTTCTCTTTTAAGACCAAAGACAGAGCACTCCTATCTCCATTTAACTGGGTGCAGCAATGAGAGGCAATTGCTTAAATGTGGAGCCTTGAGTTGGAAAAGATCATTTGATTCATTTGATAAGATTTTTTAGGAACACAGTAGATTTGGCATAATGAGCACACGTCCACTTAGTCCACAGAGTCAGGAAAGCTCAGGGAGGCGCTGGCCCCAAACACAAGTCTCTGTGACTTCTGAGGAGGTTTTCTTGTACCTGCCCCACGAGCGGTGACGTGAGAGTGGAGCCCTTTCACCCCCACCCCTGGGCAGCACAGCCCACATTCATTTCCTGGGGGAGCCTCTCTGGATGGTGATTTCTTTAGTCATCACAAATGCTTGTGATCTGGCCAGCCTGACCCCAGTCCTTGTCTTCCATCTGTGTCAGAATCCTAGATGTGCTTAGCTGGACGGGGCTGGTTCTGTCCTGTGTGCTCATTCTATGCAGTGGAAACCCGAGACCAAGAGAGATTGGGTGACTTCCAAGATCGCTCTTTACTCTTCCTTCCATTTGGGGTTCAGAAGATTTCCCATGACACCACCCTGCTGTCCCTCTGTGGACAAAGGGGGACATGTGCTGGTCCAGCAGCCGTGTCCTGAGGCTGCCGTAATGAATGATCACCAACCCTGTGGCTTAAAGCAACAGAAATTTACTGTCTCATGTTTCTGGAGGCCAGCACCTCGAGATCAGGATCACTTGGCCACAATGAAGATGTTGCAGAGCCGTGCTTCCTCCAGAGGCTGTAGGGGAAGACCTTTTCTCGCCTCCTCCAACCTCTGGTGGCTGCCGGCTTTCCTTGGCTTGTGGCTGCATCGCTCTAGTCTCTGCCCTCAGGGCCACGTGGCCTCCTCCTCTTCTTCCGTGGTCAGATATCCCTCTGCCCCTCTCTTACAAGGACACCGTGCTGGCGTTTAGGACCCACCTAGATAAACCAGGTTAATCTTCCCATGTTAAGAGCCTTAACTGAATCACACCTGCAAAGACCCTTTTTCCAAATAAATGAACATTCACAGGTTCGAGGGGTTAGGACCTGTGTATCTTTGGGGGTATTTATCCAGCCTACTGACCCCTATTCCTAGCTTTAAAGATGTAGGACTTTCCGTCTGTCTGTGTCCAGCTGCTCCCCAGCCATCTGCAAGGCGGCTTCTGTGCCGAGTACGTCGTGGATGAGGAAGGCCAAGGGCACCTGACCTGCCTGGACAGCAACCACTCCCACTTCATCCTTGTGGATGACGGCACCCACGGCTGCTACGGGGTGGAGATTGCCCTGAGGACAAAGCTGGAGAAGTTCATATCGGAGCAGACCAAGGAGAGAGGAGGTGAGTGGGGCACGCTTCCGAGGGTGTGTGGGGCAGAGAGGAGCAGGCTGGTTAGGTTGTCTGGGACACAGATGGCCGGGACCAGGACGTTCAGCAGGCGGGGTGCTTGGGGTTGCGATCAGAACACACCTGGATTTCTTTCCCGTCATCTCTTTGCATTTGTTCAGTGGGGTCATCTTCTGTCAGACCTTTTAACCAAAGGAAGGAAAGTCAGGGCAGGCTTGGGTTTCCTCTGCTTCCTTTCATGTCACAGACCATCCTAAGCCGCTTGACCCCCAAAACACGTCTCAATTTAGAAATCAGAACGAGCAAAACTTGGGCCTGGACATCTTTCCCTTGTGGGTAGGATGGGATGGACTCTAGGACACTGGGAGGTCAAATACACAGGACTTTGCACATGATTTGAGGGGCGTGAGGAAGGACCGAGATATTGGAGGTTCTGGCTCTGTCCCCGGGCTGGGTCGGCACCTTCCGAGCAGCGGTGTTCCTTGCACATCAGAATCCCAGGAGCTTGTCAACCAGAGTGCGGCCCACCCCAGGAACTCTGACTCACAGGTCCGGGTGGGTGAGAACCTGCATTCCTAAGTTCCCAGGTGACGCTGATGCTGCTGGTCCAGGGACCACACTGAGAGCCCTGATCCGACTGAGAACATGGGTGGGGAGTGTTGGGGGTGTGCTAGTGTGTGGGGACCATGACAGCATGCAGGCACTTGGAGAGAAAGTTAGCTGCCCAGGGAAAGACAATTCTGAAGTCTTCACATTTCCCTCTGCTGTTGGGCTGGATGAAAGGCTCAGGATGGGGGCTGGACGGCTGGATGGAGGACAGAGGTTCCAATGCTGAGCTCCCGTGTCATGTGTGTGCGTGTGCCAGATGCTTGATGTGTCTCCGCGGCACGCCCAGAGTTGTGGCAGCGGAGAGAGGCAGGTGGTTGTGGTGGCCTGTCTGATAGAGAAGACAGGCGGGGGACCCTGGGCATCGCTCTGATCGTCCACAGCCCTCGGCTCCCCCTGACCCTGAAAGGGGGCAGGTGCAGGGGAGGTGCCATCACAGGGCCCTCAAGTTTGCTCTCATTACACAGAATAGGGAGATGATCTGCCAGCTCTGGGGCGCCAGCCTTTAAAGGCTGCTTAGTGCTTACAACACGGCTCCCAACTGACGCTTCCGCAGCAATTAGGCCGGAGATGGCAGGGGGTGAGAAGATGCCCATGTTCCCTAAATGGGGCCCCGTGCTTCATCCTAGGTGTGGCCATCAAGATCCCCATCGTCTGTGTGGTGCTGGAGGGGGGACCCGGCACACTGCAAGTGAGTACTGGCCAGAGGGTGGGTGCCCCTTGGGGGTCGAGTCCTGCTGTGGCGGGACAGCTGGCCCAAAGTGCTGTTACCAGCATCCCAGTGGGGTCACTGGCAAGAGAGGGCAAGGAGCTTGTCCACCACAGGGCAGAGAAAGGGAGGCCCACCACGTGGCAGGGCCCTTTCCAGGTGGGGCAGGTGGGGCGGGAAGGGAGCCTGCGGAGCGGTGCCCTGCTGTGGGAAGGGTGCGCTGGCTTCGGTCCCGGGCAGTTGACCGGCACAGAAGTAAGAGAGGCTCCGGAGGGACGGCAGCAAGGGAGGAACCGGTGGTCCCCTGCCTGCAGGACCCAAGGGCAGCCTGTGGGGGGTTCTGCAACTCTACACCCAGACGCTCCTGGAGGGGTTCTCAAAGTACAGGCCCTCAGGCCCCACCCCAGCTCTGAGGGACCAGCGGCTGAATGGAGGGCACCTCCTCTGTGGTTGTAACATGCTGCCCACAGACCTTTATTCAGGACCCACTCTACGGTGTGTGGTTCGCCTCGCTTGTGGAACACTGACCAACTTTGTCTCGTCTGTAGGGACGTACGATGATACCACAGGCTGCAGATTTGGGGCAGGAGCATGGATGTTTCGTTTGTGGGATGATAGAAAATGTCCATTTCTGTTTAGTGATTGTGGGAGGTCAACCTAGAGCCCTGGGGTGTCCTGGGGCACGGGAATGCATCTGGTCCCCCGTTCCCTCCCACGCGGAGTCCTCTTTGTGGCTCTCCCGCAGACGGCGCCCAGACTGTTTCCTCGCACCCAGAGCAGGGCGCCTGCTCACGCTGAAGGCGTCTTTCCTGCTAGGGTCACGAGCTCGTTTCTGAAGTTGATCTCCCCCAGGGTCTCTGGGGTCTCCCTCGTTGTCCTGATCTCACCCTGGTCCTTAATGAGGGAGCTAAAGTCCAGCCCAGGCAACGCCCTCTCTCTCTGGAGACGGCTCTCGTGTCCACAGGTCACTGGGTGGAAACGTCCAGACCTTTCATTATGGAGGTGTTTTGGTGGGCCTGAGAGAGGTGGTGTATCAGGTGAATACCCGACAGTGTGTAGGATTAGTTGCTTTTTCCCTCTGAGCAGTGGAATGCTACCAAACCAAGTGTTTCAGTGGATTTCCCAATAGCCCATTGGCCCCGAGAGTAAGTGCTGTTGGAGAATTCTCCATGTCAGAAGATGTCAGAGTGGGACGGGGACCCAGGCCCTGGGGCTCATAGTTAGCCCCTGCCTTGCAGACCATCTACAACGCCATCACCAACGGCACCCCCTGCGTGATCGTGGAGGGCTCGGGCCGCGTGGCCGACGTCATTGCCCAGGTGGCCAGCCTGCCCATCTCCGAGATCACCATCTCCCTGATTCAGCAGAAGCTGAGTATGTTCTTCCAGGAGATGTTTGAGACCTTCACCGAAAGCAGGATTGTGGAGTGGACCAAAAAGGTGAGGCAGACAGGCACGGCGGTCACCAGGTGTGAACCTGCGGCTGTTGAGTCCAGACGCTGTTGGCATGGTAAGCAGGCCCAGGATGTGCAGGACCCAGAAACGGAGACCCCCGTGGGCCTGCAGCTGGCATGGGAGTGATCTACAGAGGGTGAGGGGCTTTGAGCCGGGTGGGCAGAGGGCCCAGGGCTGGCAGGAAGCCTTCGCTGAGGCAGCACGCTGTCCTGCCAAGGGAGGGCGCGTCTTGAACCTCTCACCTGCAGAACTTCAGGCTGTTCTGGGCTACTGCAGGGCGAGAGCACAGCTGTTCTGGGAAGAGGAACTGGCTGGACTGGAGGGACAGGAGGCTGGTGCTGAGGCCTGGGAGGGCGGCAGAGGGATGGAGAGCAGAGATTTGTGGCAAGGGTGCTGCGAGGCAATGGCAGCAGGTGGCGGGGTCTGGCCCAGCCTCCCAGCCTGGCGAGCTCAAGGTGCCTGGGCAGATTAATGGAGGCATTCTGGGGTAGCAAGGCAGGGAGGCAGGTAGAGCGTGATGAGACAGGGGCCTGAGCATGGCTCCTGGGTACCTTTGGTGATCTGGGAGGGCTTCATATGCAGCCCTCAGACAGAGGCATTCGGTGGGCACGCGTCTGTCCTGGGGATGTGCAGGTGTAGTGAGCAGTCTCCCGGACCAGGGGGTTTGAGTTCAGGACCTGGGAGGGAGCTAGTTACACCCAAAGGGGCGACCCTTCCTGCCCCGAGGGCAGGATGGATTGGGTGGAAACGAAGGGAGTTCTGAGACGTGAACCTGCAGCTGACAGGTCCAGGAACACACCATGTGAGGGCAGGCACGGCCCTCTGCTGCTTGGCGCAGCTTGTTTCAAGGGCCTGCTTGTTCTCTCTCTCTCTGTTTTGGAATTATTTTAGATTTATAGAAAAGTTGCAAAGACAACAAAGGGCTTCTGTCCACCCTTCACCCCACCTCTCCTGATGATAGCATCCTACGTAACTGCAGTGCATTTGTCAAAACTGAGACACGAGCTTTGGGACATCACTGTTAGCTAAATGCAGGCTATTGGGATTTCACATTGATCCACTAGTGTCCTTTTTCTGTCCCAAGATCCAAAGGAAGACACTACGTTGTATTTAGCCTTTTCTCTTTCATCATTTTGTCCTTTTCTTTTGTTTTTTAAGCATTACGTTATTAGTTAGCCCACCAGATTTCAAGGATTTTCTGGAACATCACCATGTGGACTAGATGAGAGGGGGGCTGCTCTCGTCAAGGGGGGCTGTGGGCTCTGGGGCCCGGCTTTCTACCCATCCCCTCTGCTCCTGAGCTGTGAGCCTTGTGGGCACCCCACCCCTGCCGTCCTGTTTTGAACCCTCCTCTGTTCCTGACCACTTCTCTGGGCCCAGGGGAGAGCACGGCTGTTACAGTCAAGGAACATAATTGCCCCGCAATTCTGTAATTTTGCATTGGTACCTTGTCTTTTATACCTACAGCAGGAGATAAAATTGTTGACTTTGCAAGGACCCCTTACAGATGGGCTCCTCGCGCAGACCAGGGCGGGAGTTAGCTTGGAACATAGGGAGTTCTGAAGTCCTGGAAAGAACAAGTTTCTCGTTCAGATCCCTAGAGGCTGTCTAGCTCCATTGGGAGACCTGGGGCATTTGGAATGGGCCTCGGCAGCGGCCGTCTCCCCAATCCAGATTTCGGGTGGCCCCGATGAGCTCGGCAGAGGGACCACAGCCCATGGCCGTGACCCCAGCCTCCAAAGGGGGTCAGTGTGAAGGAGTGTGGCTGGGCCAGCCCCACCAGCCCACGAAGCCCTTGGCCAGCCCAGGTGAGCTCGAGCGTGGAGCCCCCAGCACCTGCCCTTCCTGTGGTCTGCTGACCCTGCTGTCTCAGCCGCACTCTGAACCCCGAGGGCTGCGGCTCACACATCACCTGACCTCTGTTTCCTGGTGGGATTTCCTGAAGGGGCAGTTGGTGCCTCTCTCATCCTTGGTTCCCTGACAGTAAGTTGTGGCTAACAAAGTAATCAGGGTCTGTATCTTTCATCCAGCTCCATGAACGATAAACCAGGTTGTAAAAACTCCGGGAAGTTCAAAGTTTTAAGTGCCTGATGTGTGAGTCTGTGGGTCAGCTTGGCTCCGACTGTGTCTAATTTCGGGCCATATGCGTGGCCCATGCCCACCAGCCAAAGAGCACAGGGACACACCTGAGTTGACCGAGTGGCGGGAGGACATTCCCTTTGGGGTCCCTGGGTGTGGGAGAGGCTGGGGAGGGTTGAAGGTGGGAGCTCGCTCTGGATGGGGTGGGGGCAGTTCTTTGGGTGTCTTGTGGGTGGCACAGTGACTTTGTTCTTTTCGAGGCTTATTGTGGTCTCAGAGTTAGATACGGCTGTTCTGTGGGATGGTTTTCACCGTGAGCATTGGGTCAGTTTGTGAGACACAGAGGTCTGGCTGTGAGAGCCAGCTCCATTCCAAACTTCAGGGCTGCTTTTCTTCCTGGTAGCCACAGGGACTTGGCAGGCAGGCCCTGGGGCCTCTCCTTAGCTAGTTCATCAATTATTCAGGCGGTTCTCAGAATGGAATCTAACCCATTGTTGTCAAAGGTGTCTTTTTTTAGTCCGCTCTCTGTTGCCAAGTCAAGGCCCTGAAAACGTGTTTCATACACTCAGTCTTAGGCTGAGGGGGTGACCCATCGTTGTTCTTCTTGTTCAGTGGGAGGGGACCCCATCCCCATAGTCATGATCAGTGATTCATTCAGCAAACCTCAGAGCATGGGTCTACACCGTGGGTGGGTGACAGGGCGAACAGAAGGGGGCCTTTTCCTCAGATGCTGCTATTGGTGGACCTGGGTATCAGCCATGGGAGTCTCAACGCGGCCAACACCGCATGGCTGTGTGTCAGGAGGAACTTGTGTGCCTTCTCTCAGCATTCCTTTTCTTGTCTGTAAAATAGGGATAATTAGTACTTAAACTCAAGATGGGCCGAGATCATCTGTGCAGAGTGCTCAGTATTGTGTCGGCAGATTCGCACTCAGAAAGTGACAGCTACTCTGTTATGAATGTCTATTAAGCTGGGTTAAATTCAGGAGATGTTTTGGCTGGAGACAGGGGTGGGGTTGGGGAGGGAGACCAGGGGGTATTTGGAGTTGACGTGAAAGCTGGACCCCGAGGGATGGGGAACGGTTGAGGTCTTGGAGTGGAGGTGGGGTGCGAGGGTGCCCTCTGGGTGGGGAGTTGTCTGTGCAGAGGCATGGGCAACATGGCTGGGCTGGGGGAGGAGGCGGGAAGGCAGATGAGGCTGGGTGTGGCCGGCCTGGGGAGCTAGGCCTTTGGAAGCCATGAGGAACTGTGGAAGGCTCACCCTGGGGTGAAGGGGTTATGGGAGCAGTGACTGGGAGCAGGCATAGCAGCTGGGAGACAATGTGACAGGTGATAGATAAGATAGATAGATAGATAGATAGATAGATAGATAGATAGGTGATAGATAAATAGATGATAGATGAGAGTAGATAGCATGGGTAGCTAGCTAGATATATAGACAGGTAGGTAGGTAGATAGGTAGGTAGGTGGGTGGATGATTGGATGGATGGGTGGGTGGGTGGGTGGATGAATGGATGGGTGGGTGGATGAATGGTTGGATGGATGGATGGGTGGATGGTTGGATGGATGAATGGGTGGATGGTTGGATGGATGGATAGATGGGTGGATGGATGGGTGGATGCATGGATAGATGGATGGGTGGATGGATGGGTGGATGGATGGATGGGTGAGCCAGCAGATGGGTGGATGGATAGATGGATGGATGGATGGGTAGATGGATGAGTGGATGGATGGGTGGATGTGTGGATAGAGGGATGGGTGGATGGGTGGATGGGTGGATGGATGGATAGGTGGATGGGTAGGTAGGTAGGCAGATAGATAGGTGGTCAGGCAGGTAGGCAGGTCGGGGGAGGCAGGGCCTGAGAGGGAGGACCAGGGGGAGAAGTCCTAAGTTAAGTAGCACTGGGCGTTCAGCAGATACTGCCTCATGGGCGAGGTAAAGATTCTTTACACTTGGGTTGTGTTTTCTGCCCCGCATACGACTGGAAAACATTGTGTATTTGGTCCTTACTCATCTTCATCTTCACCATCCAGAGTGTAGAGAGGCGAGGTGGTGGCCCTGGCCACACGGACAGGCAGCACTCATGCCCAGGGCTCTGGCTTTGTGTTTGGGGCCTCCTTTCTCCCAGTGCCCTTGGAGGAGGCAGGAAGCCCACTGGTCACCATGTACCTCACTTGGGGAATGTTTGTTGCAGATCCAAGACATTGTCCGGAAGCGGCAGCTGCTGACCATCTTCCGGGAAGGCAAGGATGGCCAGCAGGATGTGGATGTGGCTATCCTGCAGGCCTTGCTGAAAGGTGAGGGTCAGGCAAAGTGGGGCCGGGGGAGAAGCGAGAACAAGGGCACTCAGGACCCTGAGTCTGGAGGAGCCGAAAATACCACCCCCGGGCCAGACGCACTGGTCAGAGGGTGGCTGGCGGTGCCCCTCACACTCCTGCTGGGCAAGTGGGTGCCCTGTCGCTGATGGTGGGGTGCAGCCTCCTTTCTCCAACTCATCTTCTTGACTGAAATTTGAGCACAGCCGCACTAATTTATCCCTCCATAGTCGTCGTAGTTTCTCATAAAGTTTCTGGGTAGAAAGAAAGCACTTTGGAGGTCCCCTCCTGACTTCCTATGCTTCGACCTGTGCTTAAACTCCCGTGCCTCCAGTGCAGGAGAGTCCAAACGCAGGGTGTCCTTGTGAGCAATAAAGCTGGGGTGTTACTGCTCTTGGGGGACTTCTTAGTTTGGCTGCTGCCCTCTGGCCCATTCTCCATGGGCCCACACTTCCCTGTTCCCTCTTCTAGGGGAAGTAACGCTTCTCTGCCCTTCCCCTATGGTTTCAACATGGCTGAGAACATCCCCGATGCTGGGGACACCGCCCCCAGGCAGACCCAGATGGCAGAGGAGGAAGCTTTTGTGGTAGAGGGTCAAATTACCTTTATTTCTGTATATCCGTTCCATACTCCTTTTACTGACAAAAAGACTGGATATTGTGCATAAAACCTCACATTACCAATGAGGTGGTTAAAACTAAGACTAGAGACTTCTGTTTACAGGCCTCTGTCCAGGGAGATGCCCGCTCCAATAGAGAGGAGCTGGGAAGAGGTGGTTCAGCAGAATCAGAGCAGCTCCCTCTCTGCTACCGCAGAGGGATGTGCAGGAGTGCAGGCTGGGTCAGGGGCTGTGACTTGCCACCACGGTGGACCCCGACTTCCCCGCCAGCAAGGACACCGAGGGCCGGGGAAGCTGCGTGCGTATCCAGATGAAGACCAGGGCCCGAGGGTGTTCCTGACTTGGCCCTGAAACTGTTCTGTTTACAGATGGGGCTGTGAAAGCATCTGTCTCTTCTTTGCTTTCTTCTCTGAGCAGCCAAAGGAGCGAGAAGAGGGACACCAGGCAGCCTGTGTCTGGCGGAACCTGAAGCTGCCGTGGCCCAAGAAGGCAGTGACAAGGGGCTGGTGGGAGCACTGAGTCTGACCATCAGTGCACGGCACTGGGAGGGGGAAGGACCCTCGCTCGCGGCCCAGGGTGGACCCCACAGGCGTGGGGCGCCGAATCCCAACGGCCTGTGCTTTCCGATTCTGCTGTTACAAAGTTCGGGAGAAAGCTGTGGAATCGTGATTGCTCTGGGGAGAGTACTGAGCGGGAAGGGGCATGAGGGTGCCTCTGGGGAGCTGGAATGCTGCGTAGCGTGATCTTGGTGGTGGTTGTGCAGGTGTAGATAGTAAAAAGTCGTCGGGCTGTGCATTTAAGATTGGTGCACTTTAGAGGTCTGCTATCTTCAGTAGAAAGTCTTAGGAAGATGACTTTGGCATGGCTGCGTGTTGTGGTACCTCCCATGTGTTCAGGGTGCAGGGAGAGAGAGATGATGAGGGTCCTGCAGAGAGAAAGAGAGCATCTATTTCTGGAAGCAAACACAATGTAATGGGTTGTAATTGGTTGCTTAGGGGAAAGGGGGGTGGGCCTCGGGGGTGGGAGAAAGGGACTCTCTCCTTAATGTGTGGGTATATATGAAAATATTTATGTGTATAGAAATATATACATATATGATTTTCCAATATCAGCCCTTTTTAAAAATCAACTTTATTGAGGTATAGTTTATATACGGTACCCCCATTCTAAGTTTACTGCCAGATGAATTTCAACAGGTGTGAGCGCCCGTGTGCCCACCAGAATCCAGATACAGGACAGTCCCCTCACCCCAGAAAGTTCTCTCGTGCCCGTTTGTAGTCAGACCTCCCTCCACTCCACCTAGCAACTGTTGATCTGCTTTCTGTTGCTATAGATCGGTTTTACCCGTCCCAGAAGGTCACCTAAATGGAATCGTACACTATGTGTTCTTTGGTGTCTTTCTTCTTCTGCTCAGGGCACTGTTTTTGCGGCTCCTCACGTGTTGCTTGTCTCAGAACTCCGTTCCTTTTTACCGCGGAGTAGCATTCTGTCTGTGAGGATCCACCACAATGTGTTCTTCCATTCCCCTGTTGATGGACATTTGGGTTGTCTCCAGTTTGGGGCCATTACGAATGAAGCTACTATTTGCTTTCATTTCTCTTGAGTCCACATCTAGACGTGGAATTACTTGTTCTTTATGGTAAGTGCATGTTTAACTTTATAAGAAACTGCCAAGCTGTTTTCCAAAAAGATCCTAGCATTTTGCCTCTCTGCCAGCCCTGGATGCGAGTTCTAGCTGCCTTCATCCTCACCAACAGTTGGTGTTGTCAGTCTTTTACACTGTAGCCATCCTACTGGATGTGAAGTGATATCTCAGTGTGCTTTGAAGTTGCGGCTCCCTGTTGACTAATGATGGGGAGCGTCTTTTCCTGGGTTTGTTGGCCATTTGTATGTCATCTTGGGGAAGTGTCTTTCAGATCTTCTGTCCACATGGACTTGGTTCTTTGTCTTATTTTTGAGTTGTACGAGTTCTTGATATGTTCTGACACAAATCCTCCATCAGATACCCGTGCTGGGGGTATTTTCTCTGGGTTCATGGCCTGCTTTTGTATTTCCTTCAAGGTGTCTTTGAAGAGCAGAAGGCTTAAACTTTAATGCAGTTTAATTCATTAGTTTTTTCCTTTATGGTTCATGTTCTGTGCATGCCAAGGACTCCTTGCTTGTCCCCTGGTTGCAGACACTTTCCTCTGTTTCACTGTAGAGGCTCTATAGGCACAGCTTTCTCACTCAGGTCTGTGACCCACCTCAGATTCACTTTGTGTGTGGTGTGAGGGACAGGCCACTGTTCTTTTTTTTCTTCCCGGAATAACAACCCATGTTTGAAGATGTTAAACCGAAAGAGAAAGCAGAACTAGTTGGAAAAAATGCTTTTCTAGGACCGGGTGAGGTGGCGGTTTTGCAATCCAGGCAAATCAGAAAGTGAGATGGCTGGAGCAGCTGTCACTTTGGATGTTGATGTAAACATGCCTGCCTTTTAGTGACCCGTGTTGTCTTCTATTTGATCGGGAGGTGGGGATGGGGCAGGGGAAGTGAGGCTGAGCCGAGGGGTAACCGAAACCCAAAGATTCTCTGATTCTAACACTGTGTGTGTGTGTGTGGGGGTGCGGTTTGCAATTGAGCACTGATTTACTCCATTAAAATTATCGAGACCTGGGGGTTGGTGATGGATCCCTCCCTCTCTGACTGTATTAGATGGCAGGGGTGCTGATGGGAGGTGGCTTTGAGACCCAGATGGAAACCCCCCTGACGCGTGTGCTTTCTCCTGCAGCCTCTAGGAGCCATGACCACTTTGGCCACGAGAACTGGGACCACCAGCTGAAGTTAGCAGTGGCGTGGAATCGTGTGGACATTGCCCGGAGCGAGATCTTCACTGACGAGTGGCAGTGGAAGGTAAGCCTTCTGGGGGCTGCCCTGTGGAGGGATGTGTTGGGCCCACATGAATCACTAGGACAGGCCCCGGAGGGTGGCCTCTGTCTATATCCCAGCCCTTCCCTTGGTGGAGCGCAACCTGGGAGTTCCAGCCTTCCTAAACCGAGACAGTAGTCTTGTCTCCAGGGACACTGAGATCAGGATTACGCGAGGCAATGACCAAACTCAATGGGCGCCCCTTGGTACCCTCTTTCAGCCTTCAGAGCTGCATACCATAATGACGGCCGCCCTCATCTCCAACAAGCCTGAGTTCGTGAAGCTGTTCCTGGAGAACGGGTTGCAGCTGAAGGAGTTTGTCACTTGGGACACCCTGAGCTCCCTGTACCGGAACCTGGACCCCTCCTGCCTGTTCCAGTACAAGCTGCAGAAGGTGCTGGCCGAGGATCCCGAGCACCCGACCGCCGTGCCCGCCGACCCCCGAGTGCATATGCACTTTGTGGCCCAGGTGTTGCGGGAGCTCCTGGGGGACTTCACGCAGCCGCTGTACCCCCGGTTCCGGCCTTACGACCAGGTGCGGCTCACGCTTCGCGTGCCGCATGGCAAGCCCAACGTGCGTGCTGGTAACGTGGCCCCCGCCAGGCTTGGCTTGTGTGTGGGCAGGGCTGGTTCCTAGTGTGGCCTCTCTTCCTGGTTGGCAGATGGCTGCCTTCTTACCATGTCCTCACAATGGCTTTTCCTCTGTGTGTGCTCTGGTGTCTCTTCCTTTTCTCATAAGGGCACCAGTCCTATTGGATCAGAGCACCACCCTATGACCTCCTTTAACTTAATCACCTCCTTAAGGCCCCTATTTCCAAATGCAGTCGCAATGGGTGTTAAGGCTTCAACACATGAATTTTGGAGGACACAGTTCTGTCCATAACATTCCACTCCCTGGCCCCCCAAAATTCATGTCCTTCTTACATGCAAAATACATTCATTCCACCCCAACCCAACGGCCCCAAAGTGTTGACTTGTTCCAGCCTCAACTCAAAGTCTAAAATCCAAAGTCTCATCTAAGTATCGCCTGAATCAGATGAGGGTGAGACTTGAGGTGCGTTCCTCCTGAGACAGATTCCCCTCCAGCTAGGAACCTGTGAAACCAGGCAAGTTATGGGCTTCCAGACACAGCAGTGGGACAGGAAAGGATGCACACTCCCATCCCAAAGGGAGAAATCAGAAAGAAGGAAGGGGTGATGGGTTCTAACAAGTCCCAAACCCATTAGACCTGAAGGCTCGAGATACTCCTCTTTGGCTTGATGTGCCCTCTGGGCCTGCTGGGGCAGCACTATCACCCCCATGGCCCCAGGTGGTGGCCCTCCCTGCAGCACTGAGCAGTGGCCTTGCCCCTTAGGCACTGGTGGTGGCATCCTGGCCCAAGGAGGAAACTAGTCCACCTATTGGATTCTGTTCCTTTAAACAACAGAAAACTATTCCCTCACAGTTCTGCGGAATGTAAGTCTAAGATCAAGGTCCTGGCAGGGTAGGTTTCTAGTAAGGCTTTTCTTCCTGGCTTCTCCTGTGCGCACGTAGAGAGCAAGCTTTCTGTGTCTCTTCCTCTTCTTATGAGGACACCAGTCCTATCCGATCAGGGCCCCACCCTATGACATCATTTAACCTTAATCACCTCCTTAAAGGGCCTGTCTCCAAATACAGTTGCGTTAGGGGCTGGGGCTTCGACATATGAATTTTGGGGGATGCAGTTCAGTCCATAACTCTCTCTTTCTAAAAATTTCAAATGGTACAAAAAGTTATGCAGGGAAAATGACCTCCTTAATTCCCTGTATCCCTAGCCCTGCTCCCCAGATGTAGTTGGCTTTTCATGTAGTCAGGTCAGAATTTTCAACCTTTATCTGTGTGAGACGCCCAGTATGTGCATTACAACAACAGAAGGAGAGGGGATTTTCTGCTCTCATCCTTATTTGATGGATACCTGTGACATCCAATGTTAAGTACAATGCTGGTGTTTGCATATGTATTTATGTTAGAGAGTATCCATCTCCCGATTCATTCAAGTTTTACAAAACGAAGCCTCGGTGCTGAGTTTTGTCAGATGCCGTTTGAGAAATTGAGCTGCTCTTTTTCTTTGACCTATGAATTTGGTGAATTATTTTCGTAGATTTCCTGATAGTGAAATGTTTTTATTCCTGTTTTGAATCTCATCTTGATTGCCAGGTAATGTGTTTAATATGATGCTGGATTCTGTTGCCAATATTTTCGAGGTTTTTGCATTAGAATGTTTAAGCCTTTGATTGTAGTTTGATTTGGCAGCTGTATTTGTCAGGTTCTGGTATCAATTTTGTGTTAGCCTTATAAAATCCGTTGGGCAGTCTTTCCTCTTTCTCTGCTCTGGAACAGTTCATGTGGTTGGAATTCACTGCTTCTTACAAGCTCAGCAGACTCCCTTGTGAGTCCATTGGGGCTGATGCCTTTTTGGGTAGTAGCTCTGATAACTTTCTCAGTTTCTTTCCTGACGATTTCTGTTTATGTTTTCTGCCTGTTTTAAGATCAGATTTGGTTTTGTTTTTTTTCTTGCTAGAAAATGACCCACTTCTTTCAGGTCTTCAAATCTGTCCGTTGTCCCATTGATCCCTGAGAAGGACGTGGTTGTGGCTTGGTTTTATGTATTCACAGTTCTGCTCTTCTTGATTCCAGTGTATTTAAGACACCTGGTTGGAATGTGCTTAAGAAGGTCCGGAGTGAAACCTTATACTTAACCATGTCTGTAATTTGAGAAGATGAACTAATTTTTTTTTTGTTTATAAAGACAAGCTTCAGGAAATTTCTAAAATCACTTAAGGAAAGTGCAGTTTTGTGTGTGATGTGGGAAATGTGTTCTCTGTTCCAGGAATTGTTTCCAGAGTGTCTGAGTACTTGTTTATTTATGATCGGCCAGGAAGCCTGGTTCTTGTGTTGTTACGTATAGTGAGTATATCTGGGGCCCAGGTGCCCTTCCGCTCACAGGTAACCTCATTGTCCATCAGCAGCTCTTTCTTGTTGGCCTTCTCTGTAGGAGACACTGTGTAGGTTACCTGAGGAGCTCACAGCCATGAATCTACTGATAGACTCTGTGTTAGAATTTTACTTCATAGAAAAAGCCTTTGATGCCATCAGATAAGACTCAAGAACCTTGAGCTGCCTGGCATGTAACAAGAGTCTATAAATGTTAGTAAAGGAGTTAGCTGGGTATTCCACTTTCTGGATGTTTCTACATGTCTCCAGAGTGATGGTTTTTAAAGCCCCAGTGTGCGTGGCAACTATCTAGGGTGTTGTTGAAAATGCAGGTTGTGGGGCTTGCCCTCCAGGAGCAGTGATTCTGAGAAGGTGTGGGGCTGGGCCCAGGACCTGCACCCCTAACAGGCCCCCTGGGGAGTCTGATGCCAGTGGGGACCTAGGTGGGGGCTCTGACTATCCACTGCTCACCAGATGTAGAGAGTGAGTCCCCAATCTCTCTATAAGGATTCATCAGGTGATGCTGCCTTCAAAAGGGACCCAGCCCGTGATCTTCTCATTTGGGCCATCGTCCAGAACCGCCGGAAGCTGGCAGAAATCATCTGGGATCAGGTAACCAGACTTGCTTCCTGGCACACACAGCTATGGGGTGCACCTTATGGGGCCCCGAGATGGAAAGGCCAAATGCAGATTCCCAGGCTCTGACACCAGCCCCTCGTCCTGGGCCAGTGCTGCCCTCTGACCCAAGCAGTGCCTTCTTTGAGATTTTCTCAGCCCCTTCTGGTGCCTGGGACTGGCAGTGCCACCGAGGCAAGGTACCCTGAGCTTGGATGGGGACATGCATGGGCCTGGTCCCGTTTCCTCCCTTCGGGGTGCCCTCTGCCCCTCGACCCCATGCCTGGGGTTGACCAGATGCCCAGGGAGTGCTGGAACTTGTGCCCATAGGGCTGTGCTGATACCCTGTGTCCAATCTGTGTTCTGGGTGGGCACAGGGGCCGCTTGGTAAGCAGACCACTCCCACTGGCCAGTGCAGGAGACTGGGCCAGCAGTAAGGGCTTACGTGCTGATGTGGGGGACCCAAATGGTTTCTGCAGACAGGGGCCACAGCAAGTCATCACCCAGTGGCCTGTGTGTCCCGGGTCTCTGCTTTCATCTGCCTGGCAGTGTGGCAGGGGTTCCCTGGGCTGGGCCATCCGGGCCCTCACTGGCTTCCTCCGGGCCCCAGAGTCAGGAGTGCATTGCTGCGGCCTTGGCCTGCACCAAGATCCTGAAGGAGCTGTCCAAGGAGGAGGAGGACACGGACAGCTTGGAGGAGATGCTGGCGCTTGCTGACGAGTATGAACACAGAGCCATCGGTGAGTTCTGCAGGGTGGCGGTCTCGGACCACAGCTCAGCTCCTTGTGTGTCACTCTGGAGTCCTCCTCCTGGGTCTCAGCCCCTCATGTCACCCTGTGTCACCCTGGGGTCCTTGGCCCAGGTCTCAGCCCCTCACGTCACGCTGTGTCACCCTGGGG